AGTTAAATTGGAAATATCAGTAAAACTTGGGAGGTCATTCAACATACTGGATAGCCAACTGGGATCCATAAATACAGTGGCAGGCTGGAAAGAGGGACTGATGTAACTGAATGTGAACTCCAACAAAGTACATTTGAGGTCTTCCCCAGTGTCCAAAAGCCAAAAGGTTGGGGTGATATAATTCAGCAGTTCCATCTTCACAGCAAATGCAATCACACAGACATAGGATTTAAAGGTTTTAGCTGACCAATGGGCTCAGTGTTCAGCAACCATGATACCAAGAAAAGCTAATGGTGTTTTAGGCTGTGTGAACAGATGCACACAGGCGAGAACAAGAGAGACAATAGTCAGCTCTCATCTGTGCTACTCTGATACACTGGGCATTGGGTTTGGAACTCCAGGGCCTGGGAAAGTTAATCAGAGCCTGAGAAAAGGGAGGGGAATTGTGCAGAGATTTCACAACAACACAATCTATGTGAGACATGGTTGGAGGAAGGAGAGAGGCTTGGCTTGAACCCAAGGCATCTTCTTGAACTTGAAGCTGTTGTCAAATAAATGAAGTGCTTTTATGCAGAAGAGGGGCAAGATCAGGGGAAGACAGATTTCTACAAGCTGGAGTATTCCAAAGGTGAAAGAACTATGGAAAGAGAGCATATTCCCCCGTCACTGGTGGTTTCGAACTTAAATTGCATTAATGCTGGATTAAAATACTATGGTAAGGGTTTTCACGTGGGGGTGGTAGGAAGAGATGGTTGAATCAGATGAACCTTCTAACCCCAACATTCTTCATCTCCCCTGGGATCTAGTGTTCCTTCAGTATGGCCTGGGAGTTTCTGAGTTTGCTACCCAAAGTTGTAAATGGAGTCAGTACAGGTTTTCAGCCGTGAGCACAGGCCCTATGTGTGATGTAAAGGTCTGAGTGTTCATAAACTAGTAGGGACAGACTGAACCCAAGGAAACCTGAACAGTTTGGGATCAGTTAAAATTAAATGTAAAATGGCCAAAATGAAGGCACAGGTTGTCGTAGAGTTCAGACAAGGGGTCAGTGAGGGTTGTAGAGATGGAGGCTCCATAGAGAGGACTTCAAAGTCTCTACGTGTGCGCATTAGGTGACAAGAATGGATTGAGGCGTCGTGGTGGCATTGATGTGTACACTAGGCAAACATGATAGGTGCTCTCTTTCCTTTGATGGCTGTAATGGCCTCACAGGCTGGAGTGCTGTGTATCACACGTGCAGATCTTAGAGCATCTCCCAGAAGCCTCTGCGGGGCTCCTGCAGGCTCAGGGTCCACTCTGTAGCACCTGCTCATGCACAGCCTGCATCTCTGACAGATCTACCTGACAGTGCTTTTCTTGACTAAGCTTTCTCTTCATCTTCTGATCGCCTCTGAGCCTTTCCAAACCCAGCAACTCTTTCTCCTTTGAAAGTAAGACTTCCTCCTCTCAGAGGTCACTGCCCCCGCCCTCCACAGCTCATGATCCCAATTACAAGAATAAATAATCCCTTACAGTTATTTAAGGCTTTGTGGTCCTGGAAGCTTTTCACACCCACTCTCCTGTTGGTTCGTCCTGACAATGTTGGAGGAATGTAAGGCAGTGACACCCTGGAATGGAAGAAGGTTACAGTGCTTGCCCAAGGTCACACTGAGGATATAAACTGGTCTGGAGATCAGGGATCAGAACACAAGTCTTCTGATCCCTGACCTGGCTTAGTGATGCGATGGGTGGGGGTAGCACCTTCATGCACCCATTCCTGGAAACCAGGTGGGTCATGACGTCATTCAGGCCTGGAAAGTCTCCCAGGAGACTAGGCTTTTTTTTTCCAAAGGCTTGTGTCTACCTAATGAGTCTGGCTGGGCCCAGGAAAGCCGAGGCCCATCTGGAGCCCCAGGGCTTCTTTGCAACAGATCCAGCCTTTGTGAGCTGCAGCTGGCAGTGGACACCATTCAGAGACTGTATCTGCTTTCCCTCCATTTGTGTTACGATGGTTTATAAAATAACTTAATTTGTAACAAGCAAACTGGCATGTGAGCATGAAAAGCATAAAGTATTAATTTAACCAAGGAAAACTTAGGACAAAATTAATATAACACATTTAATGATATCATAAAATTAATATGCATGGTTATTAAGCATAGATAGTAAACACTTTCTATGAATGACTGTAATTAGAATTGCTTTAGCAGAGCCTAATGAATTTTTAAGTTACTCTCAGGTCACTTTATTCGTTCCCCAGTTGGAATCACTGTCTAAAGTTTTCTTTGGTACCATTTGCCACCTAGCATGTGATTATCTTTAAGCACAGAAAGATAATTCAAGGTCCAAGAGAAAACCACCTTGCTTTCTGAAAATTCCTTAAAATTGTATGTTTCTGACCTTGAGACATCCCCTGTCAATAGCAGAGACCCTTTCTTCTTGCTTCCTTTCAAGATTTTCTTTTAATTTTTGTTAGTTAGCTAAGAGCAAAAGTGACAAGCTCAAACATCTGACATTTACTCTTAGGCAAATGGATAACTGTTACACCAGGGTTAGAGAATACACTCATAAACATGGGGCCACAGCTCTTGGAAGTCTTGGAAGACTATCATCTTCTGCTACATGTAGCCCAAGGCCACTGTTGGACAGTTGCTAAAAGTCAAGTTTCTGGTCTTGATAGTATAACCAAGAATGGGAGCTCAGAGATCTGTGATGAACGATCCTGACTGTGGAGTCTCATACCACGTCCTCTGCTGGAATTTATTAGTAGTTTCTGTAGAGTTGGAAGGTTGTCAGTCAAAATGGCTCCTTCTTCATTGTGAGTCTGTTCATGTGGTACAAATGCTTCCTCTGCAGGTGGAAATGGGGAAGGGGCAGTGATTGGACTGTGGCAAAGCCTAGGAGAGCAGGGAAGGTCTGGCTCTGGATTGGAGTCCCAGGTGGACATGGGAGGTTGAGAGAAAGGATGGAGGGCTCCAGGAAATGACTACATTCCCATCCTTTATGTTCTGTTCAGAAATCTCCCCAGTACCGATTAGAACCGAGAACCAGGGCTGTCTCTTCGATTATCATGGCTTTCCATCATTGGAGGTTAGTAGCAGGTGACAGACTTTTGGGGATGTCTGTACATGTGTTACACATTCAAAACAGGTCTCAAGACCATGACCTTAGCCTGTTTATGGAGCCTGGAGTTCTCTTAACAGAAGAGGGGAGAGGACAGGGAGTAGAGGCCAAGCCTGGGTCAGGCAGTCCTTAGGGACAGATCCTGCAATCTGGGTTGACCTGGCCTATGCAGTCACCCCACCACCTGCAATTCCAGTTTCCTGCCTGAATTATTTAGAGAGCATTAGGAGCATCTATTATGAGGAGAGGATGTAGGGACAGAAAAGGGTCATCACTGAGGAAGACCTACAAACCTTGTCTCCCTAACTATCTTTGTCTTTCTCTGTAGGAAAGGATGCCCAGGTGCTCACTTCCTCTGTCCTATGGGCCTTTTAGATTAGGGGGAAGATGCAGGAGCAGGTACAAAGAAGTCTCAATGTCACTGACAGCCTTTAACCAGCCTCGCCCATCTCCTTATCCACCTGTGGCCCTGTGCCTAAAATGGCAGGAGCACTGAGACAGGTGTAGGCCTTTCCTTTCTAATAGGTTGTTATTGTCATTGTCATGGAATAGTTTGAGAATTTTATGAGAAACATGGATCACACAAACTTTTTTTTTCTCTTTTTCTTCTATTTTTTTTTCTTTTATTATTCATATGTGCATACAAGGCTTGGTTCATTTCTCCCCACTGCCCCCACCCCCTCCCTTACCACCCACTCCACCCCCTCCCTCTCCCCCCCACCCCCTCAATACCTAGCAGAAACTATTTTGCCCTTATTTCTAATTTTGTTGTAGAGAGAGTATAAGCAATAACAGGAAGGGACAAGGGTTTTTGCTGGTTGAGATAAGGATAGCTATACAGGGTATTGACTCACATTGATTTCCTGTGCGTAGGTGTTACCTTCTAGGTTAATTCTTTTTGATCTCACCTCTTCTCTAGTACCTGTTCCCCTTTTCCTATTGGCCTCAGTTGCATTTAAGGTATCTGCTTTAGTTTCTCTGCGTTAAGGGCAACAAATGCTAGCTAATTTTTTAGGTGTCTTACCTATCCTCACCCCTCCCTTGTGTGCTCTTGCTTTTATCCCATTGTTGTGTTTGCCCTTGATCTAATGTCCACATATGAGGGAGAACATTTGATTTTTGGTCTTTTGGGCCAGGCTAACCTCACTCAGAATGATGTTCTCCAATTCCATCCATTTACCAGCGAATGATAACATTTCGTTCTTCTTCATGGCTGCATAAAATTCCATTGTGTATAGATACCACATTTTCTTAATCCATTCGTCAGTGGTGGGGCATCTTGGCTGTTTCCATAACTTGGCTATTGTGAATAGTGCCGCAATAAACATGGGTGTGCAGGTGCCTCTGGAGTAACCTGTCACACAAACTTAAGTGCAAAATTTCAGAAAGAGTCCTCAGATCATGCAGGGTTGGGTGGTACTGATGGAGACAGGTGGAGAAAGATGCAAACAGGAAATGAGAGAAACCAAGGCACTGATCAGAAAAGAAACCCACACAGTGCCACTTAACACTGCCTATAAGCACAGGGATCAGTGAGGGAGAGACAGTGAGTCCCAGAGGCCAGGGCTTGGTGTTGAAACAAAGGAAGGTGGGTGCAGGGCACACTCACTGAGGAGCATCTGGGTTGGCTGGGAGCAGTGGCTGGAAGATGGGAAGAGGAGAGGCTGCATGACACCTTCCAGTGGCCAGAGTAGGTCCAGCTGGGCCTCTGTGGTCTGCATCCCTTTTGCATCAGGCTGTCCTGAAGACAGGTCCTGCAACCTGGGCTGACTGGGCTGTGCAGTCACCCCACCATCAGTGGGAGGCAGTGTTCTGGGGTCTGAACCCCAGTAGCTGCTGCGGTGGGGTAGGCAGGTCTTGGTGTGCAGACCTATCAGCTTCTCCTTTTGCCACCTCTGTAGGAAAATTGCTGCTTATGATGAAGAAATCCAGCATCTCTACGAGGAGATGGAACAGCAAATCAAGAGTGAGAGGGAGCAGTTTCTCCTGAAAGTGAGTGTCCACTCCCTGGGCACGACTCTGAGGAAGGGCCAAGCTGACATATCTACTTGACCACCTTCCCCAAATGTCAGCTCGCAGTGCCCCCAACCCAGGGCACTATTGATTCCTCTTTTCCTCCTTTATTATTTCAAGACGTTTGTCACCTTCAAATGCAACATATAATGTACTTGTTTATTTCTGTTGATTATTTTTTCCTCCTACTAAAATGTAAGATTTTATTTGTTAACATATGCTCAGCTCCTAGACCATGCCTGGAATATAGTAGGAACTCAACAGATACTTACTAAATCAACAAGTGAACGAACAGGCAGCTTGCTGGATGATGGATGGATGGATGGATAGATGTATGCATGGATGGATAAGTGGGTGGATGCATGAGTGAATGTATAGATGCATGGATGCATGGATGGATAGATGCATGGATGCATGAATGGATGAATAATGAATAGATTGATGGGTGGATGCATGGATGAATGGATTGAAGATACATGGATAGAGACCTAGATGACAGTGCATGCTTTATTAGCTAAAGCAGCCTGGGGATTGGGTCTGACATTGGCTGACCCCCAACCTATGTGGCAGGCCCATCCAAATGCCCCTTCACTCCATGCCCAGCACCTCCCCCGACAGGACAATCATTAGAGCCCAGGCTAACCCTCCTTTCCCCTTAGACACCTAGAAAATGTAATCACCAAGAAAAAACAAACCCCACTATCCTCAGTACCATGGGAGAAAATATAAAGCTCACATACCTTGTTCCTGGTCTGGCACGTGTTCAGGCCCTTCCCATAGCCTGCTGTTTTTCTTGGGACCTCAGGACAGGTGACCTCTTCTCTACAGAGCCAAACACAGTCCCTTTTGGAATATGCCCATTTGAAAAAAAAAAAAAACACTGAAAACTCTCCATTATTGTTCATGATTGGACTATGCGCTCAATGGTTCCAGCAGAAAGGCATTGATCTTGGATAGTAACTTCCACTGCCTCTCAGCTGTAAACCTGGGCTGTTGTTCCAAACTCTTTATTCAATCTAGTTTGTTGTTGTTTTTTTGTTTTGTTTTTATGCTACTTCATATTATCCAAACCACTGCTCCACTTTCTATCAAAGATGTCCTTCCAACTGTGAGGGAATCAGAGTGATTTTCAGAAAAATCCAACCATGGTCTCCAGCCAGAGCCTCTGGAGGCTCATCAATTTTTCCAGACCACCCTTATTCTCCTTAGAGCTCTGACCTATTCTGGCCACCCCCAATCTTCCAGAAGTTGAATGTGCATCCAGCAGATAGAACTCATGCATGTCCATCAGCAGACCTGATATAATTTCCAACAGAGCCTTCTCCCCACATAGAAGAGCCATCTCTTTCACACCAAATGACATTCTGCACAGAGGACACAAGCTCAGTGGACCCCTCCATCCCCTGGCCTGGGCATAAAGTGGGCCCAGGTGTGGGGCTGGTAGTGGGCAGAGGTTGGAGGAAAACATTTAAGGACAAATTAGCATCACCTAAGATGGTCTGGCTATGATGCAGTGACCCTCAACTGTCCCCTCTGCTCCCTCCTCTCCCACTCAACACCAAATGCCCAGAGACCTCATACTCATGCTTTTTGCATGAACTTGGAAACTCTTAAGGTATCTTTAGCAATGTCATGAAGCCTTTAGATATACAGACTTGCTTGGCCATAGAGCGTAAGGACAGTGATGGTACTGTTTACAACACCATGGAAAGAGGCATAGTCTCTGACGAGGGCTTAGATCCAAGCTCTACACTTAGCAGTGCATTTGACCATGAGGGAAGTACCTGTCACTTGTACCCTTCACCTCCAAACTGAGAAGCCCCACCATGCTCTGTCCTGGCAGGGACAATAATGTACTCTGCAGGCCCACTGGAGCACAGTGGCATCAGAGTGAAGATTCTGGAATGTCTTGCCAGTCGCCACACTTTTCATGGGACACCTGCCCTCTGAGCAGCAACCACACTGAATGAGGCAGGTCCCCGGGAGCTGACTCTCTGGAAACAAAGGTTTCCAGACAGGAACTGTCTGAGGAGACCCTACCTGTGCCATTGCACGTGGTTGAGATGACAATCCCAGGCTCTCCTTTGGTCTCTCTGCACACTGACCTACTTGAGAACGGGCCGAGGAACCAGAAGCATCTATAACTGAAGAGCTGAAGTGACGTCCTGGGGCTTTGAACACAAACATCCAAAGGTCTATGAGCCAAAAACAGCCACGTTTGTCCCTTGTCTGCTGCCAGCCCTCCCAGCCAGGACCCCCACAGTTACCCAATGCAGCAGTAGCCTGCAGCCGACCTCCTTGGGAAGGAGGGGCCTGAGTCTAAATCTCCACCTATCCTGAGGAATTCCAGAGGGCTCCAGTAGCAAAAGACAGGGAGGTTATAATGACTCCTTCTCTTCCTGCATGTTCAGCCCTCTGTCTGCCGTGCTGCAGATGGCATGAGTACTTTTGTTTCTCTTCTGTGGACAAAAACAATGAACCTGAAGAACAAAGCAAGTTGAGTGATTTAGAGACTGAACCCAATTTCCTGATACCCAGCTCATGGCCCTTCCACCAGAGCTGGCTCTGTTGAGAGTGTCAAGCTGCCAGCCCCCTACCTTCTCCTCTATCCAATAGCCAGGCCTTCACACCTGCACCATTAGGGCCCCAGTGTCTCTATATGGGGGTGTCCCGTCAAGGGGTTGCTGAGCACAGAGGCAGAGACGTCAAAGGAGCAAAGCCTGGGAACCCTCAGTCATCTTGGGCAAGCAGTGAGCACTCAGACCCTTGAAGGCAGAAGCAATGATGCTTCAGACTGAGGGTGGCTTAAGGGAGCCGATGACAGTGTCCAATGTGGACCAGAATATCCAAGTTGAAGGGGTCTTGAGGTCATCTACCTCCCCTGAGCCCCCAGCATACAGATGAGGAGATAGACCTGAGATTCAAATTCAGGCCCCTCTCTTCTTGCTCAGCGCTCCACCAATAACTGGCCCTGGACTTCTTTTTTCTTCTTCTTTTTGGTCAGGGGATAGTGCTGGTGCACAGTCCTGGAACATGGCCACACTTGGTGGGAGGTTGCAGAGTGCCTCAGTGAGCCTTTGTATAGTCTCTGTCTCACATGTGGGGCAGGCAGGTCACCAGAACCTGGAGTGTGGCGCAGGGGCCTCAAAGCACAAAGGGACTGGAGGCCCAGCTGATAAGGAGGTGCTAGTGAGAGCAAAGCCATACGTCTGTGCACTGTCTTTGAGTCCACATGTTCCCTCTTCCCGCAGGACACAGAGAGGTTCGAGGCTCGCAGTCAGGAGCTGGAAAAGAAGCTGTTGGCTAAGGAGCAAGAGCTGGAGCAACTCAACCAGAAGCAGAAAAGGGTAGGTGGTGTGGTGTCTATCTTTGGAGTGCTTGGCTCTTCCTTCCTCCCAGTCTCTGGTACTTACCTGCTACCTCTGCCATTCACTAGGGAACCTTTTTATTTAGTCTTAGAAGAACCATGTGGATGTACAGGATAGCATTTAAACTCCCTGGTGAGGGCTGGTGGAGTAGTTCAAGTAGTAGAGTGCCTGACTAAAGTCCTTGATGAGCTGGACATAAGGGGGCATGCCTGTAATTCCAGAAACTCAGTGGGCTGAGGCAAGAGGCTCTCAAATCTGAGGCTAACCTAGGTTACATAGCAAGACCCTATCTCAAAAAGCTAATCCCCCCCAAAAAAATCCCTAAATAATAATTAAAAATTAAGTCACAGGTGATCTCAGGTAAAGACTTTAGTTCTCTAAGTCCAGGTGTTTAACTTGGAAAAGTCCCCAGGAATCCACCCAGGGATTGTAGGCATTTTCATATAATTACAAACAGTTTGAATGCCAAAACTTGAACTTGATTCTACGTCCCGCATCAGAAAAGAGGGGGGTGCAGAGTAGAGGACCATTGCGTGGTCACTGGTACTTTAAGCTGCAGACAACCTTCCTCCCTTCCAGGATGGCCATGAGTACCTCTAGCTAGGAAAAGCTCTTCAAAGATCGGTGTGACCCGCTCCTGTCTGCCACATATGGCTGGACAAGGTTCAAGCCTTTGTGACTCTCTCTGTAGTCCCATAGGATAGACGCAGACCCAGACCCTCCTCTCCACCTGCCTGAGCCTCCAACAGGCATCCTAGGTGGTGCACTCTGCAAGGCAGCATCCCTGTGACTGGAGACAAGAGATTCATGGTGGCAATTAGGTTGACAGCCAAGGCAAGCCTCACCCTCAGCAGCCTTCTCACCAAAGCAAGGGCTCCTGAGGGAGAGAGGCAAGGATGCCACTGGCCATTGGCCTCCAGTTTCATCTTGCCTTGTCAGACCCAGACACATTGCTTACCTTGGAATAGAGAAGACTGTTTTTAGCAACACATTAAAATAAGCTCGAAGGCACCCCTGCTAAGACTGGGGCCTGCTCTGCTACAGCTGCTGCTTCCCAGCTTTTGGATTTGGGCTCTTTTTCTTTCTGCAGCATTCCCCATGTGCAATTAATTCCACAATCCTACCTTGCTTCTCCTAGACTTTTGCCTCCTCACTATTAGGCATTAAATTCTTAGCAATTAGATTTATCCTTCAAATGAATGATTGTCACTGGATTTAATTATCGCCTGCTTGCCTGATTACACAGCAGCCTCTTGCGAGGCTTATGAAATTCCTTCTGGTTGCTTCCTCCACTCCTTACTGGCCACATTCATTAAATTAAATTTATTATGACGTGATCCTTAGTGTGAGTCTTCCTCTGGTGAGAGAGGATTGGAAGCTCTACAAAGCAAAGTCAAGGAAAGCTGAAATTATCAAAAATGCAGGATTTTAAGTTGCTTTAAGAACACAAGAAAAGGTATAGGGTCTGTTTGACCTGATTTAGTTATTCCTTAAGAATTTCCAGGGTTTCTGGCTCTCGTACAAAGCTCTCTTTCAGATTAAGGGAAATGGACTCATTTAGTTGAGAAAAGAAAAGGAAATAAGTCAGTCTGTTATCACCACTGGGAGAGACAGCATCATGAAGAATGTCACTTAGCTGCCCCCAGCCCCATCAAGCACGAGGCCAAGAAATGGACTTGAGGGATGAGAGATTTAGGTTAGATCTCAAGCCCACTGTGACTTTGGGATGAGAGACACAGTCGGATTGTGGAATTTCTCTCCTAGTGGTCCTTTTGAATGTGGCACTGCCCTGGTCTGTCTAGTGGGCCTGTGTGGAGACAGGAGAAATGGGATGAGCTACAGGAGCCCCCCTGCCTTTCACAGTGCTTGTGAGTGAATGAAGGACCAGCTGATTTCGACTTGAGGGCAGTGGCTGAAGTTGGGGATAGCGGAATGCCAGTGCCTTCTCCAAGCAGGGAAAACGGGAGAGGACAGGCAGGGCAGCCAAGTGACAGTGGCTGCTTACTCCCAATTCCTTTCCAGCTGGAAGGCCAGTGCACAGCTCTGCATAATGATAAGCATGAAACCAAGGCTGAGAACACCAAGCTGAAACTCACCAACCAGGAGCTGGCCCAGGAGCTGGAGCGGACAGCCCGGGAGCTCCAGGATGCTCAGCAGCAGCTGGAAAGCCTCCAGCAAGAGGCCTGCAAACTGCACCAGGAGAAGGAGATGTGAGTTCTGCTGTCCTGCACGCCATTGCGCTGCAGGCATGTGAGAGCCCCTCTTAGATACTGCCTGCTTGCCTGTGAAATGAGGACTTGGGCTCGTTGCTCCTGGAAACTTCTATCTTCTAGGACTCTGAAGTTACTTGATTGCCTGGGGTCAATAGGAAATAGACAGCCCTCATCGCAGGACATGTGGTTAGTTTAGAAAGACATGCTCTCTGCCAACAAAAATGCAGTCCATGTGCAAATGCTAAGTGAGCAGACCTCAGGTGACTGTCAAAGTTTAGAGACCTGGGGTGCCCAGGTGGGCCAAGAATGATGGAATGGGAAGGCTTCTGAGGTTAGCAGATAACTTGATGGTGTGCAGCAGGATTCTGGAATCATCTCTCAATCTGGCCATCTCTCTTCAGCAGTGTTCCTCTGTTTGGACTCCATGGGCCCAGTGGAGGAACCCCACATCTCTCAAGACCTGGTTTGCCAGGAATTACTTTGGTATCTGAGCACTAGGCTCAGCAGGTGAGGCAGACGCATGCCTGAGCAGGAATCAGTGGGCAGGTCTATACATTAAGCTAGAGAGGTCAGTGCAGAACCAATCATCTTTCTTGTCTTAGGAATGTTAGGTTTTAAGAGCAAATGCACTCTAAGGTCCAGAGCAAAGGAACTCATTTATTTATCTGTCCATTCATTTATCCACATACTTATTGACTTAATAACCTAACAAACATCTATTGTGAACTATTGCATGCTGGGTACCACACTGGGCCTTCAGTGTGTCTCACTTGGGTCGATAATCCAACATCATCTCATTTGACCTAACAGCATCCTGATGTGGCTGGTTTTATTGTCATCAACCCTGATTTATGGCTGAAGAAACTGAAGTCTGCCAGAAAACATCCAGGCCACCCTTCCCTCACTCTTTGGCTCATGTGTTCATCCAGCCAGCCAGGGGTCATTGTGTACCTAGTCTTGAAAGATTCCAGTAAGCACTGAAAGTCTGATTTCAGGGCACAGGACCAGTGATGGGATGTTTTGCATATGTTATGTCCCCTTATTCAGAAGCAAAAGCCTAAGTCTGTCTGTCTGAGCTCTGGTAAGATTTGGTGTGTGGGTCTAGGCCCAGTTGTTCACCAGTGTTGCTCATATGCTCCTGTGCCACTTGGGACAGATTTCCTGGGGTGAGCGGGAAGAAATGTGTTTAGAATGGGAATGTCTTTCTAGTAAGATACTTCCAGTTTAAAGAAAAGAAAAAAGGGCACCCAAGTAGCTGACTTAGGACAAAGCCCAGCCCTCAGCCCCAGTCTCAGATGGTCAGTCATGGGAAGACAGACCAAGTACAAGTGAGTATTTCAAGTACTTCACCATAAACAAGCAAAACCAGCTCTTTCCTCCTTGTGCAGCCAGGCACAGGCACTTAACTTTACAAATAGAATTAGGGATTCAGGCTCTTCAAATTCAATCAAGTTCTCAAAGCAGCAAACATTTGAAGGCAGGAGCATTAAAACAGCAAATGCAAATAAACACCAGGTGCTGGAGCATCTTGGCCCAGCCTGGGGACCTGCAGTCTTCTGAAGTCTTATCTTAATTAACCAGGCCAAAGACACAATCTCTGAGAAGGGGGAGGGGAAGGGCTGAGGAGGAAGAGAGAAATGGGATTCCATAGCCTTCCAGACTTGCTTTTCAAGGAGCTGGGAATGCCTTGTGTAGCTTAGAGCCATGTGGGGTCCAGGAGTGTGCACTGTCCAGGGAGGCCAGGGGAGAAGTAGAGTGAGAGCCCTGGCTTGTTCTCTGTAGAGTGGAATTGCAGACCAGCCCTGCTAACAGGACCATAATGCTTAAATTTACTGCCTTCATTTCATATAAGGAGAGCCTAAGGCTCAAAGAGGTGTCACAACCAATCCAAAGCCACACAGTTAACTTTTGCCAGAGAACAAGGACAAAGCCCAGTGCCTGATCTTCCTGGGTATCCCTTGGCAATGTTTTGTTGCCAGACACTGCTTCAGAGCAGCTGGGAGAGGAGAGGACAGAGTGAGGAGGTGAATAGACTCAGCCATTTATCAGCACAAATTTGAGTGGGCAAAATTAATATTCCCATTCTCTGAAGATATTTAGGTAGGATAACTAGATTTTAAAATGAGATAAGGAAAGGGGAGACAAGGAAAAATGATGGTTAGTCAAAAAGCAGTATCTCTTTGCTTCTTTATCAATTAACTTTTATTCTGAGTAGGTCATTTATGACAAGGTACAGAAGGACAAACACTCAGAAAGAGGCATGTCCCCACCACCACCGCCACCTATAACCCAGGATGCTGTTACCCAGAGACCACCAGCCGTGGTTTCCTGTGGATCCTTCCAGAATATGCTACATATGTGCAAACACAGGCACATGTACATGTACACAGCACACACACACACACACACATTTTCCTCTACAAAACAGTTCAGGCCAGGCACTCTGTTCTGCTCTTTCTCGAATTGTCCACTTGACAATATGTTTTCTGCAGTGTTTCATGTCTCATCTCTTTCCTAAAAACAAAGCCAACAGCACTTTCTTAAAAGGAACCATAACCCCTGGACAATGACTGCATGAAAACCAGCAGGTTCTTCCCTTGCAATTTGCATATTACCCAGAAACACTCTCTGAGAATCTCCAGGCTTGGGGGACTTGAAAGGCCAGTTAGTCAATTAGCCAAGTGTCATTTGTCTTCAGAAATGCCTTTCTTCTTGTTAACAAAACCATAGAGCTGAATATATAGAAAGATATGAATATATGCAAAGCATATATCTACAGATACATGTTCATAGACAAATAGATATGCAGGTATTTGCACATGTATGTCATAAGTGTGTGTGTGTGTGTGTGTGTGTGTGTGTCTGTGTGTCTCCATTTTGCCACTAGTACTTGGAACAGGACCAGGGAACATCCAAAATGCCCTGTGATTTAGGAGTTGGCTTCTTAGTCAACCCTGAGGACTCAGACCTTGGCTGTGAGTGATTTCTCCTCGATATCTATTCCGCTGTCCCTGGAGAGGCAGAGCCAGGGCTGGGCAGGAGAGCTGGCACAAGCATCCCCAGCCACCAGGGCACACAGAGGGACAGGCAGGTCTGCACAGAGTGTGCTAATCAGGGCAGCATCCTACATAGGGGCTTGAGGAACCAGTCTGGATAATAGGAAATACATTATTGTTTTCCCTTAAGTGGAAATTAAATATAATTGGTAATACAGTGTGAAGAAGTTGCAGCTCTGCAGGAGCCAAGCGAGTTGTGTTGCTTAATTAGGATTGTCTGAGATGAACTTCAAATTCTGATTCAGTCTGTTAGTGTAGCCAGGTGACTTCAAAATTACGTGGAAACTGGAAGGAAGGAAAGAACACAGATACCTCTTAAGGAATCGGGTGATTAGGCGCTTGGTGGCAGGGTCCTCTGGACCCAGCCTGGCAACAGCAATCTCCATAACTACATGGACGAGTGGCAGAGGTGTGACTGACCTTGCAGTCTGGTGAGCACGGACAATGCATCTCTGATGGCCATGGAAAGGGACACATTTGTTAGGCTGTAAGATGCTCCTACGTGAAAATCTGGTCGGCAAATGTGGAACATTGGCCCCTTTGCCGTGAGACTGGAGAGAGGTTTAAAAATTCTAAACTTTGGTTCAGAGCACAGAAGACAGAGGGAAAATTGTGCAGTTAAACAAATTTCCAAATGTCACCCAATTCTGCCTTATTTTTCCCTTTCCTTTCTTCCCTGAGTGTTGCTGAAGACCCCCCCTAGATTCTACCCTTCCCTTCCTTCTTTTCTCCCTCTATCTCCACTCTCCCTCTATTCCTTCCTTCCCTCCCTCCCTCCCTCCCTCCCTTCTTTCCTTCCTCCCTCCCTCCCTTTTTCCTTCCCTCCCCCCATTCCTTCCTTCCTTCCCTCCATCCCACTCTTCCTCCCTCCCTCCCTTTCTCCTTTCCTTCCTTCCTTCCTTCCTCCCATCCTTTCTTCCTTCCATCTTTCCTTCTATTCTCCCTTCACCTTCCAAATACAGTGTCTGGCATCCATCTGAGCCAGTGGACACAAACCTCTTCACATAGTAATCTCTCTCTAGAGAAAGCCACATTCCTCTAATCCACTCTGTTCCCAGGAAAGACAGTGCTTGCTGGTTCCCAATATGAGGGCCTGGCCACCCAGCCTCAGTGCCTCATCCCCTGTAGCCCCACACCAGTGGCCGCCACCCATCACGCCATGTCTGTGTCCTCCTAGGGAAGTGTACCGCGTGACAGAGAGCCTGCAGCGTGAGAAGTCTGGCCTCCTGAAGCAGCTGGACTTCCTGAGGTGGGTCGCGGGCACTCAGGATGCCTTGGGCTGAAAGGGCTGGTCTGGGAGTTCTTCCAGGCTGTGTGCTGAAACAGCACAGCTGATGGGGTAATACCTTCCTTCCCTCAGTTTCTGGCATGGTTTGGACCACCCGCTCTGGTATGTTGGTCATTTGCACATCTGTCCACCTTCCTCCATGGTTTATTCTTCTGTATGGCAGTCTCTGCCTCATTCTTGGTGTCTCTCACGGTACCATGCATGGTACTAGCTCAAATTTTGGAGTGGAACCGGATTTACTGAGCAACTTCTCTATGTCTGATGTATCATCTCTGTCCTCCTCAGCGAAACTATTAGATAAGAAAAGCAGTGGTTAATACAGGAATAAAATGAAGAAATGAAGTAGCTGGGCACTGTGACTCATGCCTATAATCTCAGCTACTTAGGAGGACTCAGTTTGGGGCCAGCTGGGGCAAAAAGTTAGTGAGACCTCATCTCAAACAACATGCATGATGGCTCATGCCTGTGATCCTGGCTACAGTGAGAGGCATAGGTAGGAGGATCGAGGTACAAAGCTGGCCACAGGCAAAAATGCAAGATCCTATCTGAAAAATAACTAAGGTATGAAAGAGCTCGGGGTATGGCTCAAGTGGTAGAGCACCTGCCTAGAAAGTGCAAGCAAGGCCCTGAGTTCAAAAACCAGTACTACCCCCTCATGTTACCCCCCCAAAAAAAGAAGAAAAAGTAATTTATCACAAATGACAGAGCTACTCACTAATGAGCCAGAATTGAAATCTGTGTCTGGCTAATTCCTTCTACTTAGCGAAATTCCGTTCATGAGTAAATGAAACCCGAACAGTGCCAAGAAAGGAGTTTCCCCAGCCTTCTGAAACTCAAAAAAATTTCTAAGTTCACAGGTCCGGATGTGCCAAGAAAAGCAGACTCGAGTAGGGAAGAGATGGGCCTTCCAGTTTTGCCTGTGAGGTTTCTATGTTGCCACCTCCTCTGCCTGCTGGTCACCTCGTGGCGTCAGTGATGAGGGCTTGGGTCCTACGTTTTAGGATGAAAGTGATTTTGTACCTTTCCAGGTACATTATGAAATTTTTTGTCTCTCTTTGTGACAGCAAGGTTAGGGCACTGTTTCTAGGATCTGTGACAGTACCAAATTAAAAGGAATGTTTGAGACATGCTCTGCTCAGTACACGAAGCGCCAGGCCTCCACAGGGAGGAGATGCAAGGGATTGTAGGTAGCCAAGTTCTAGACCAGTGGGGAGAAGGTCTTGATTCTTTGGAAGGCTTTAGTGAAAAAAAGAGAACTGGATGTACAGGACAAGTTTGGGACTTCTTTTTTTATATTGCACTTAGAAAAAAAAAAGAAAGAAAGAAAAGGCAGGAGAGAATGGCAAAGTGGTCTTCTGCACACATATGGTTATTTCTCATGGAGACAGCATTAGTGCAGAATCACACGCCTGAATCTATCCTCCCCAACTGCATGGTCACTAAGCTTAAGCTGAGATTGGAAGGTCATGGGAGGTTGGCATATTTTTCCACCACAGTGAAATTGCTAAGAACCCAGGGAGATGCTGGGAGTGAGGGAGGTGGAGGCAGGTTGGTAGAGGCAATGGCTGGAATGTGACAGATGGGGAGGGCTGCCATCCAAACATAAATGGACAAACAGAGATCATCTCAGAGCTCTCAGCTAGGAACATGGGCCCTGGAACAAGATCTCATTCAGCCCCTCATCATCCTGTGTCACCTTGGGCAGATGGCTTCACCAATTGGTCTTCATTTTCTCATTCCTAACTCACAAGCTTCTTTGGAGAGTCAGATGATAATATGGGACTCACAATGAGGCAGCAATGTGACAAAAAGAGATACCTACCTGTATGGGAGTAGCATTTCTTTAAATACTGTAGCTTCCACACAGAGATGGCTCTTCAAAACAGGAAATAACACAGAGTACTCCCCCATAAAGGGGTGATGCTCCAGGTCCCCAAAGTCCCCACCCAGGTGCAAGGTTACTAGCTTGCCTCCCACACAGAACCCACACAGAGGGTCCTCCTGACATGAGAAACTCACTTTGAAATTCTCATGGTTTACAAATTCCCTGCACCCCACCCCACCCTCCCAACCTGTGCTGAAAGCATGGCCATGTACCCTCTGCTCACCACCTGCAAGTAACTGAAACCAACTCTGCTAGTGTTTTCTGCAAGACTGGGAGCATCAGAGGTCAGGTTCCCTGGTTGTTATTTATTTATTCCCTAAAATGTTTTTCTAGGGTGTGTGGTATATTTAGCTGAGTGCCACACCAACAGCAATACCCAATAAATGGTTGCATTATGGTGACAGAACCTGATCACTGCTGTGCCTGCCCTGCCCCCTCCAAAGTGTGGAATGGTACAGAGGCCACTGGCCTAAAGAGTTACAGAATCACAGAAGTGCAAGACACTTCGAGGTCACCTGGCCCACCCTTCCAACCTCTTACATTAGTGGAAGAAACTCCCAGTCATTAATCTTAAATGCATCCAGAGTCTCCTCACTCCCACACTCCCCTCTCTCGTTAATCCTCCATTTCCCCTTCCCACCCTCATGCATGGGCTCCTGCTTCAGAGATGGTCAGAATGGTTACAAGAGCTTGTTCCTGTGCTTGTCTGTGCCCATATCTCTGCCATCTCTGTGTGGTGGGTGAGCTCCCCGTGCTCCTAGCAAAGGCCACCCCACCCCTGTTCCCAGCTGGTGCTCTAGAGCTGATCCCATCCCCATCTTTTCTCACTCTCCTTTGTTGTCAGTTCTTTCTGTTTTGGAGAGACTAAAGTACACTCTAGTATTTCCTACCTTTCATCTCTTGTCTTCACTTCTTCATCCAACTACTTCCATTTCTTGCATCTCTTTACAATGAAACTTTGAGTTATTTACCTCTCTCTGTCTTCACATTCTCAACCCTCCAGTCAAGGTTGTTTTTTTTTCCCCACAGTTCTACTGAAACAGCTTTTGTCCAGGTCACCAATGACACCAGTCCAGTCACAGGGCCTCCCACCATCACCCCTTGTAATCTATTCTTTGAGGAAAGGTTTGAGACAGTGTCTCGCTATGTAGCCCAGGCTGACCTCAAACTTATGCTCCTCATCTCAGCCTTCTGAGGACTAGGATTACAGGCATGTACCACCACTCCTGGCCCTGGCAATCTGTTCTTAAACACAGCCTCTAGAGGGATTCTCTCAAAGCCAGAATCAAATCATGACACCCTCTACCATCCACGCCACCCCCATGCCGCCCCACCCCATGGTTTCATACCTCATTTGGAGTGAAAATCAAAGTTGTTATGGTAGCCCACAATGAAAAGGCAGGTTCACACTCACTCCCATTTTCCTCTGATTTATCTTCTAACTATTCTGTCTTTGAATACCCTGCCGCCTTCCCTTTGTTTCTCGCACTCAGGTATGTCCTAACTCAAGGCTTTCCCCTGCTCTCTGCTCTGCCTGAGGCTCTCCCGCCTTGCTCCTTTCCGCTCATCCAAGTCTGCTGAGAGGTGCCTCACCAGCCAGGCCATCCCTGACCACTGCGGTTGAAATTCAGGCCTCACTCTGGTTGCCTTTCACTGCTTTCCTGCTTTATTTTCTCAATAGCCCTTACCCTGTTTCCCACACTCAAGTTCCATGAAGCAAGGGCATTGAGTTTGGTTCTCTGCTGTGTCCTTGTGAGCTACAACAGTGCCTGGCAAGCAGTGGGGGGTGTGAGTGAATGCACACATGCATGAGTCAATCGGAGGTTCAAGGAGAGGGGGCAACAGCAAGCCCACAGGGAAGGGACTTTTATCGATGGAGGCCACGCGTGATCCTGAAGAAAATGGGTGTCATAAGCCATTCTGTATTACCTGCCTGCTCTGAGCTGGTTCACACAAACTGTCCTCTGTCATGAGCCACATCCGTACAGAAAGAGATTCTGTACTCTCTGGGCCTCCACGCCAGGCCCTCCCTTCGCCCATCTGATGGGGAAATTGGTGCCTCTGGTTCTGCCAACTGCAAACTTCATTTTTGAATAGCTTCCCCCTTCCTGTCCACAGGGAAAGGAACAAACACCTCCGGGATGAACGGGACATAAGTTTTCAGGTAATCGGCCAGTGCCCCTTGGGGGAGGGGGGCGAGGGAGAAAAAGGCAGAGGGCCAGGGGCTGCCAGATCCATGTCAGGACTACTCAAGATTGTCCTGACACTTGGGATGTGTTGGATCCTTTATGTGTGGGCGGAATGAAGGCACAGATGTTTTGAAAATAAGTTTGAAAAATGCAAGGTGGCCTTGTAGGTGACAGTATGGAGAGTTCCCCTGAAGTAACACATTTTTCTCTTGGCAGGACAAGACTAAAATATTTGGGAAGGCCACATATTTCTTGGATGCAGAAATGATATTTCCATCCATGAGATGGTGCAGTTGAAATGTCATTATCACTTTTAAATCAAAACGTTCAGTGTTTTCTTTCATTTAAATTTTTATCTCTTGATGAACTCCTTTGCATTTTTACACTGTCATGACACAAAAATACGCATCTTGCTATTTGCATGTTGAATTTATGTACAGTTTTTTTTAACTCTGTAGGGACCCCTCCCCTTCTATACCTGAGAATCATGCCTGTATACTTTCCCAAATAACACAGAATTCATGTTTTCACTGTGAGTCACATTAATCAAAATCTAGGATTCTGTGCTCTCTGGCTCATCGGATGCTCTGAAGGGAAGGAAAATAGGGGCAGGAGTGGTTGGTTTGACTTCCTAATTATAAGACTATCATTCCAGGAAGTTTGTGTGTATTGCTGGGCACGTATTTAGCCACCTTGGACCATGACCCCAACTGTCACATGAGGGAAAAAGAATCCCTATCCTCTCCCCCGTATACCTCCTTTATCATGGGGACTTTTTAAGAAAATTTCTTGGAAAGGGGTGATGTGTACTGGACCCTTGGCTGAACAATAGCCTAAAGCAACTATATTGCCATGAAATAGATCCAGCGATTTATACTGCCAATCCCTGAGGGACCCTATTACACTCCCACTTCTTTGATCTCACCAATTGGCAGTGAACATCTCTGCCACCCACCTGTGTGTACTATTAGAGCAAGGCTTAAGCCTACACATGTTTGTTTGATGGGAATGGTTATAATTGTCTTAGAAGTAACACTGAACTTGTTTGAAACTTCCAACCAAATGTCATCCCAATCCATCACCTCACTTCCCTTCACCTGCCAAACTCATTCTGCTTTGAAAGGAGGAGGGAATGAAAAACTCCAGTGAGGAGATGAAGAAAAGAAGGATCAAACCTTGTCGGTGAAGAGTAATAATTAAAGATTCACTTGAAATCATTAAAGCTATACCTTCAGGGGCCCTGGGAGCACAGCAGCTCCTCCTCAATTCTTTATGGAAGCATGGGATGACTGATTAATGAGGGACATTTCCTGTAATCCAGCTCCCCCTCATCTCCTGTGAGGGAGACTTCAGCAAAGGGGATGTGAGCCCCACTTCACCCAGATTCTCTGTTACAGATGTTTGAGCCTTTTATCTACACCTGACCTGCTTCCAAAAAGATCTGAGAAATCCTACCCTAAGCAATGCACAGAGCACTGGGCTTATTAACGCTCTGGGCTGGTCCCATTCTCATTACATATGGGACCTTGAAGGTAAAGAGGAGACAGAACCATGTGGAAGACTGTCATTTACAATGCACAGCAGCTTTTTGTACTTGTAAATATTTTCCTGTGCCTTGAGCGTGTATCTCTTGTTTTTACCTTAACCTCTTGCACTTAAGCTATCAGTGCTCCTGAGAGGAACAGCATGGTGGTCCCCAGGTTCTACACTCTGCATTTGTTCCTTTGATTTGATTGTTAGAAAGGAGATAGAGGAATTCCAGTGGTGAGGGGAGGGGATGGCAAAAGGGGAGAGATCAGAAGGCTGCCTGCTTCCTTCAGAGACTTGTCTAGAGTCTGGCCTACAAGGTGGAAAAAAGTTGTCCTTTTCTGCTCAAACCCTGGGGCAGATCTACAGGCATGGATCTCAGGGAGGGTATTTTGTGTTTCTACAGAAAGATAAGGCAGCCAAGGCAAACACAGCTGCTTCCAAGGCAAGCTGGAAGCAGAGATCTGGCTCTGTGATCGGCAAATATGTGGACGGCAGAGGAATTCTTAGGAGGTAAGTCACCATCCACGTGCTCATCCATTCACTCAGTTCGCACTCTTTGGAGCTGGCTGTGAGCCCATATTCTGTGCCCCTTGAGATGTGGCCCTGCTGGGGAGGTTTGAGGTCAGCTACACTTACTCCCCTAGAATCTTGTTGTGACATGGAAGCCAGAGGGGGACTTGCAGAACAAGCCACTAGAATAGGCCACTGTTGCGATGGTGCATCCCTGCAGGGTGAGCCCGAAGGCTGATTTAGATAGGAAAAAAGGGTGAAGGGAGTGGAGGTGGAGGGTGTGGCTGGACCATGCTCTGTTGTCTGCTGAAAAGAATGGATGCACTTTTGATGTTGCCTATGAATGTTAGTATCATATGGAGTCTCTACTCGTTGAACTCTTTTGGAGATGACATTTGGGTTTGAATCATCATTTCATGATTCATACTTAATTTACTCGATGACAACATGCTTTGTTGCTGTTGGACAGCACGTGATTGAATTTCAGTGCCCAAAGGTATTGGCTTATTGCTCTTTCATAGAGCCATGCCCCCTCCTCTTTGGGGCAGATGCTTCTTCCACATGGATGGCCATAGAGAGTCTACGTAGAGGCACCCAGACTCTTAAATATCAGATTGGGAGAGAAAGTGTAAGCCTGTTTATGGAAAGGATCCCGAAGAATACAAGCATGAAATAAAAAGATGTGCAAAGGGAAAGTGACTTTGGGGATGTAAATCAGCTCATCAGGGAAGTCTTTGGGTCTCATCATCATGAGTTCCCTGTAATAGCTGAATAATGAGTTACAGTTTGGGAGCCAGATTTCTGCAGATGTATTGGCAAATTGGTTTCTGAGAACTGAATGTATTCATTGACTGATTGATCCAACAGGCATTTACTGACTACTGTGTTCCAGGCATGCTTTCAAGTTCTGTGAAGGCTCCAAAGATAAATTAGACATGGCTCCATTACTAAATATCCATTACTAAAATGCTCATTGAATAAATAGTGAGAGCCTACTATGTGCAAGGTGCCATGCTGCCATGCTGTGCACTGGAGATGCAGTAAGGAGACAAACAGACCCTTCTCTGTTTCAAGAGCTGATAGATGAGCAGTGGAAACAGTAATCCTGTAAGCAACAAATTGTGCCCTCTAAATTCCAATATCGACATTGGCAAAAGCAGCTGCTCTTTCCATTGATGGCAGATAACAGTTGGTGGCAAAACCCAAAATGAACTTAGACGCACTAAGCCGAAGAAATTACAGAATGTCAACAGTGCTTGAGAATTGCCCAAATAAAAAGCTTTTTCCAAGAAATGCTTCATTTCAGGACCTATTTAAGTGGCTATTTCTTTCCTGGTTGCAGAGCCTTTGAAAAACACATGCTGTGTTTGTGTGGACCCACTTGCTCACGTGCACACAAATTGTGTGTATGAGCAGAGTGCAAATGGATGGGAATACTAATTGTGTTCTGAGTCAGATACCAGTTAATAGGCTTGATAGCATATAGAGGAGTCCTGATGGAAGGAAGCCAGTAGGCTTTTATGAAGGACTGATTTCATAAGCAGAGGGAAAGGTGCTTGAATTGCTATAAATCTCTCATTTTCTATCAAGGGATCCAAACCAATTCACATAGTTGTAAGCAAGCAGCCCATCTTAATTTACCTTTCAGAATTTCGGTTAGCTTCAGAATGCTGCCATGCATTTTGTTTCTCTTTTTCCTTCTTACTATTGGTCCTTAGGAGTAATATATATTATTAAGTCATGGGGGAAATAAAGGATATTCTACATATTCTGTGTACCTCCCTTTCTCCTTTGGCCCTAACACCTTGCTACTTCCTTCTCATTCCATTTTTTCTTCTAATCCGTGTGTGTGTGTGTGTGTGTGTGTGTGTGTGTGAGAGAGAGAGAGAGAGAGAGAGAGACAGAGAGAGAGAGAGAGAGAGAAAAAACAGAAAAAGAGACAGAGAGAGAGAGAGAGAGATTCAATTTGGCCCTAAGGTCCTCCCTGTCGTACTTTTATCCTCTTTGAGACAACTTTCATGCATCACCTCTACACCCCATTGCCCAATTCTCGCCACCTCCTCCTGCGGTACGCAAGTGCTTCTAGAAACATGTATGCACTGCACTTAGGTCTTCGAGGCCATACCCCTGCCTCTGATCTCCAGGGACAGAGAAAATAAAGAGAAGGAGAGTAGGATGGATGTGCCTTCTGACCCAAAGCCCAGTCTCAAGGAATGGCTGCCTCTGAGCCAGTGGATATCTGCTGTGTGTGAACGGAGAGCTTCCACAGCCATGGCACCTCTTCACGGTTAAGGGATGGCATGGGGACATGCCTGTTCTTATTCACTATCTCCTCTATGAATAGGCAGGGCAGATGGCTATGGAGAGAGAATGGAAGCTGAGTGTCTTACCTAAGGCCACACAGTAAATAAGGGCTGGTGCTGGGAGCTGCGCTTGGTCCCCCTGATTTGTTAATCCTGGGTGCTGTATTCCTAAGCCTGCCCACTCCTCTATTCACTATCTTCTCCTTTACAGTACAATTCCAATTTTTGAATTGTATTGTGTTTATTTGTGTCATTACTTCCTTAGTCCTCCACTAAGTCTAGCATTGCATAAGACAGGGCCAGGGTCCCTCTGTTCATGACTGCATCCTGGCCAGCTTGTCCCCAGTAATAATCTTTATCACACCAGGCCCTTAGGATCAGGGTGCTCAGGAGTTGCTGAAGGAAGCTGGATCTGTTATTTTTCTTTCCTCTCCTGGAGTCCTCCTCTCTGGAGGTGTGGTGCTCTTCGATTATCTGTTTGTCACAAATGCCATCAGGCAGGCCTCCAGCTCTGAATTCATCTACTTTCTGATTTTCTCCCGCTGTCTTCTTCCCCACCCGTAGCCAGTCAGAGGAGGAGGAGGATGTGTTTGGTGTCTCAAGAAGGCGAAGCTCTCTGGGCCTGAGTGGATACCCCCTTACAGAAGAGGAGCCAGGAACTGGGGAGCCGGGGACTGGGGGGCCACCCTGCAGGGCCCTCCGCAGAATCATCTCCATTGAGGAAGACCCCCTGCCCCAGCTCCTGGATGGTGGCTGTGAGCGGCCACTGAGCAAGTGCCCAGAAGAGGAGGAGGAGGAGGTATCTGACCAAAGGACAGAAGGGCAAGCCCAGGGGACCCCAAACTTGGGACTCAGCCCCACATCTCCCCGAGGGCAGCCTGTTGGAAAAGAAGCCCTCTATAAGGTAAGGGTCAAGCCCAGCTTGATTCACAGCCAGCAGTCCTGTGACTTGTCTCCTGCCTTCAAGCCCAGGACCCCCAAGTTGTACCCAGGAAGCCAGCTCAGCCGTCTTGGAGCTCACTACATGGTGTCTTCAAAATGCTGCCTTACCCCGCTGAGCTGACTGTCTCTGGGAGAGATTCTGGGCCTGATGACTCCTCCTTATAACCTCTCATCCCCACTCTGTGCTTTCTCAGCTGATTAAGGGCCAAAGCATTTATTGAGCACCCTCTGAAGACAGACCCCCTGTGAGGCTCTGAGCAGAAAATATCAGATACTTTCAAAGTTGTAATTCTTTAACTGTTCTCAGCAGGACCAATCCCTGCTTTACAAAATATGCGGGGATTTTCTGGGCCTGGTGGCTCACACTTGTAATCTCAACTACTTGAGGGGAAGAGATAGGAGGATCATGGTTCTGGCCCAGGGCAAAGGTAGTGAGACCCCATCTTAATCAATAAACTGGGCATGTGGAACATGCCTGTGATCTTAGCAGTGTGGGAGGCTTAGGTAAAGGATTGCATCCAATGCTAGTCTGGGACAAAAATAAGATCCTACTCGAAAAATAACTAAAGAAAAAAGGTGTGTAGCTCAAGTGGTAGAGTGCTTGACTAGCAAGCCCAAGGCTCTGAGTTCAAACCCCAGTACCATTAAAAAAAAGGAATGTATTATTTATAATAGCAAATCATTGAAAACACCCAATTATAGAGATATAAATTGTAGTATGTTAATTAGTAGAATATTATACAGCTGTTAAAAATCAGCCTTAAAAAACTTTAATGACTCAGAGAAATATGTATAATTTAATAATTAGGGTAAATTTATATATACATATATATCTCACAGTTTTTAAAATAAAACATGTTCATATATCTACATATAGAAAAGACTAGAAGAAATGTATCAAAATGAATAGTGGCTGGTTATTTCAGGATAATAAGGCAGATTATAAAGAATTATCTGATTCCCCCCTAGCTTTCTGTATTTCCTAATTTTAAATGAACATATATTACTTTTTGTGTTTGATTTTTTTGTGGTGGTGGGGTTAGAACTCAGGACCTTATGCATGCTAGGCAAGCACTCTACTTCTTGCCTGTACCACCCGCAGCCCATTTTTTAAGCATGTCAGCAAGAATTCCTTTCCCCAGACCAGATGTCTCACCGTCACTGGGCAGGTGGACTGTTCCTCAGTCCTTGGTGCACAGGCTCAGTGCACAGACATGAGCAGGAGTTCACCACTCTTGTGAGTGAACTTACCTGAAGCTTAACCATCCTGGTGCTGGTGTTTTTGTGCCTGTGAAACAGAGCTGTGCCCAGAGGAAGAGGGAGGTGGTCGGTCACAGGGCTGAGGGCCAAGCAACACATCTGCCTCCAGGCCACCTCCTCCACCCTAGGTTTCACAGTCTCTACCTTGTACCTGTGCTTGGGGCCAAACAGATTGGTGTACTATATTTTCATCTCAAACAAGTGACAATGAAAGGGACAGAGACAAGAGACTGGCAGGGAGCCAGCACCATTGTGCAGTGCATGAATGAAGAAACTGGGACAGGAGACATCCTTTTTTGGGGGGCTTGAACTCAGAGCCTACACCTTGAGCTACTCTGTCAGTCCTTGTTTTTTATTTGTGTGTGTGTGTGTGTGTGTGTGTGTGTGTGTGTGTGATGAGTTTTTTCAAGATAGGATCTCCCAGAACTATTTACCTAGGCTGGCTTTGAACTGTAGTACTCCCGATCCCTGCCTCCTGAATAGCTAGGATTACAGGCGTGAGCCACCAGCACCTGGCAGAGACATCTTTTTGAGTGTAGGGTTTTTCAGTTTTCAGGTTTAAATCTTCTAGTTGACCTTGAGTTTCCTCCTAAGTACTGCATGGAATTTCTCCCCAAAGGACACTAGTGGCTTGTTTGTAACTGAGGTACTGCTAATACCAGCTGCTGCTCCATTATAGTATTTGCTCGATGAGAGAAGCTAATTCCCCCAAATCCGTTTCTAAATAGATTCCAAAGAACCTCTTCCTTTGCCCAGCCATGCTGAGCAGAGCCTAAGGCAGGGCTCAGGCAAGCAAACAGGTCCCTGGAAGCACCCAGCAGAAGGGAACTGGGCTGAACACCTGCCCCTTACACCATCTCCTAGTCACTCTGGGTCCTAGAGCAAGTTCACCCACTGCTGGGCTCAGAGTCCCGGACTGACAGGCAGGCCGACCCCCAGCTCTGTCCTCTTGGGTCAGGGAGAAGAAAAACAGAGGCTCAGGACTTCCCACCTTTCCTAGTGGAGATATGGAAGTGGGTCCCCAAGGAAGATGCCTTGCCTAGATGGAAGCTAAGTCGGGGGGAGCTGTGTGCTGGGAGGCAAGAGGGGCCTCCATGGTACCCAGGCTCTCAGTTATAGAGCAAAGAAAAGAGACTGTATCCCAACCAGCTGAGATACAGAGGTCTTCTTTCTCTCTCCTCATCCTTCCCTGCACAGAGAATTCTGCCTCCTCCTTAAGTTCCTGCTCTCTCATGTCTCCTCCTCTGTGCTCCCAGGGTGCTTTAATTATTTGGTGACACATTTGCCTGCTTCCTGTTCCTGGATCACACTAGGCAACTACTTCTCCTCTCTCCTTCTGGTGCTACTAGTTGCTTCTCTACCCCATGCTCAGCGCTGTGATCTGAGACTGGGGAGGCCTCCCAGGTGCTGGCCTCCTAAGGACCATGGCAGGGATGGTGGCAGCAGCAGGAGCTGGTGGCCATACCCAGTAGATGGTCAGACTGTCTGTCGTCCACAGGAGGAGAGCTCTCTCTCTGCTCCAGACCGGCTCTTTAAGATTGTGCTCGTGGGCAACTCTGCAGTGGGGAAGACGTCCTTCCTGCAGAGGTTCTGTGAGCACCACTTCTCCTCAGGCATGGCGGCCACTGTGGGTGAGTCCTTGGTCCAGGAGGGATTTGGAGCCCATGGGAGAGGACATGGCACTGCTAGTAGGGATGCCAGTGTCTGCTTTGCTCAGCATGGGGCTGGAAGGGCAAGGCAAAGCCAACCTTCCACCACCATGCTGACTTCTAAGCTCATTCTGTGTTGAGCTCAGCCCTGGACTTATGGAAATGCTGCTGGCAAAGATGGACTTAGGGCCCCTTGATGCCTTCTATGACTCCTCGGTCTACTCCGTCCTCACTTTTGGCATGACCCTGAATCTTCATGCTCCTCCAGGACTCACTGGGACTCCTCTAGAGACTGAGCCTTTGCAACACGCCAGTACTTCCTGGCCTTGCCCCTCTGTGTATGAGGGTGTGTGGCTGTATGTGCTGTGTGTGTCTCTCATTGATTTTTTTTTTTTACAGTACTAGGTTTGAACTTAGCACCTCACACTTGCTAGGCAGGTGCTCTACCACTTGAGCCACGCCCCTAGCCCTTTTGTCTTTAGTTATTTTTCAAGTAAGTTTTCATAGTTTTGCCCAGGGCCAGCCTCAGACTACAGTCCTCCTCTGTACATCTCCCACATAGCTGGGATGATAGGAGAACACCACTACACTCAGCTTGTTGTTTGGGTTGGGGTCTTGCTGCCTTTTCCCCTTGGGCTGGCTTCAAACCATGATCCTCCAGATCCCCATCTCCCAAGTAGCTAGGATTACAGGCGTGTGCCACGGCATCTGGTGTTAATGATCACAACGAAATGTGGTCCTATTCTAAGATAATATTTTATTTAAATAGGGGTGTTAAGTTGGTTCACCCAAAGGTGCACATTTAATTAAATATGTGGCAAGACCCAAGGACATATTGACCTTTTAGCTTCTCTAGGTTGAATCACTCAGCAAAAAGTAAATACACTAAATTCCTACAGTGTGCTATTTAAGCAAGCTGATCAGTCAACTGCACTCAACCATACATTTCTCTGATCTGAGTATTGACCATAAGATTTCATATCCATCATTCCATCTATCTTCACAACAGGCCTGAGGATGGGTATTGCTATCAGCCCAATAGACAGATCAGGAAATTAAGGCCCACAGAGGTTAAGAGCCCTATCCACATTCCTGTCAGTTGGTTGGTGCTGACACCTGCCCCTCAAACCACACCTTCTAGCCCCTTCCACAATGGGCTGTTGACACTGGGCTATCTATCCCAATGATATTGAGTTGTACATACTTATCTCCTAATGAGTGGTAGGGGTTTTTACTGCCTCGGGAGGGAGGCAGAGGCTGGTTTGGGAAAGAGAGGCTGCAGAGGTTCAAAGGCACATCAGAAGTCCTGGGTCCCCATGCTGGCTCTTCGCCTGACTGGTTCTGTGATGTCAAGAGGACCTAATTCCTCTCTGGGCTTCCATTTCCGTTTCCATCTGAAAAGGAGGGGATTTGATCTTGGTGCCCCAAGCCCGGGTTTCTCACCAGACCATCCTGGGCCTTCATTTTCTGACAAACTGGCCTACAGGACAAACATCCTGTGCCCTAACGCCCTGCCTCGAGAAATTCACTTCTTTCTGTCATTCCGGCTCTTCCACCCTTTATCCTATCAGTGGGTCTCTTCCCACATGCTTCAGTGTTCTTCTGATGGCTGGGCCTTTTCCTAGACTGTTGTCACATCAGGGACATCCTCCTGTCCTTCCATTCTGCCCCACTCCACCAAAGACTGAGTGTATCCCAAGGCAAAGCACTGGGACCTAAAGGGAAACAGGACAGAGACTTGAAACCAAGCCCAGGAGAGTCTGGCCTTGAGAGGAACCGTGGAGAGTGAGTGGAGGACACTGAGCATGGCCATGGCTGTGTCTCCAGCACAGACCTGTGGGGGGAGGGGAATGGACTCCCTCAGACCCTCAAATGCTCATCCTCTGAGCAGTGTGCCTGTCCTGCAGTAGAATCAGGTCCATGTATATTTCCAACCTGTGGCCCTGAGACAGAAGGCTTGGAAAAAGAGAAAGTTAGACTCATTTGCACTGTCCAGGAGGCCAGTGATGGAAGCCCCCACAATTTAGGAAGGAGAAAAAAAATAATCAAAGGGATGTCCTTCATGGCATTGCTCAAACAACACCAGAGTGGCATCTCATTGAGTTCCCTGCTATCAACATGTTGGTGAGCAGAACACATGTTGAATGAACACATGTTCCCTGAACACATGTTGGTGAGCAGACCCTGGCCACCCAGAAGATTCTGTCTTTACAGAGAGTCACAACCCACAGCAGCCCAACCCCAACACAGCACAGCCAGCAGCAGGGACCATGCTCTTCTTCCAGGCTCATCTCCATCACCAACTTCCTGGTCTCCCAAGCCTCACAGTACATGGTGTGCTGGACTCTTGCTTGGGTGAACTATGAGGTGCTATAATAGGACTGTGTGAGTTGGGACATCCTGCCTACCCCACTTTAGGAACCAACTTGCTCCTTCAAGAGCAGCTGCTTTGACCCTGTGGGTGTCCTGGAAACCTCTGTTGCTAGAAAGAACTCAGGAAAAAGTCTGGTCATGTTTTGAGAAAACCAAGGTCCACAGTCAGAGTGACCACTACAGACCTGAGACTCCAAGTCCCATGCTTGTTCCACTGCTCCACATTGGCGCACAACCTCCCTACTTTAAATTGCAGCCCAGAAGCCACAAGTTTCTCCAAGAGCATTTTCTGACAGAATGTCCTCTGTCCTCTCTTTGCCACCAGCCCAGATCCTATCCCACTCCACTTCTCTGAAGAGAAGCCCTTGGAGCACCTGTCTCCATGACAGCTTGCTGACAGTCCCTTCTCCTGGATGGCAATGGCTTTGGCCTGTCTTCTCCAGAAAGGTTGATGATACCTTCCTGGGGTCCTTCAGGCCAGCCCTCACCCCACCATCCCCATGGCATGCTTCCTGGCTTCAGCCCTCATGCAGGAACCAATCAGGCCGAAGGTCACCTGGATGCGATCATTCAGTGCTACAGCTGAATGTAAAGATCATGAACACCCAACTTAGCCCCTTAAGCCTCCGTCTCACCTCAGCTTAAGAAGAGAAAAGTCAATGTCCCAAAATGAGGTGAGGAGATGTCATGAAGGTCACCCAATCAGGCTATGGAGAATTGAAAAAGAAGCACAGAACACAGGTCTCCTGACGCCTGGACATTTAGTACTGGTGACAATCTTAAAATCCGTTTAGCCCCTTATCATTCTGCACTGCCTCTTCTGTTGGGCACTGGCTTTCTCCTGCCTGGTGTCTGGGTGGTGTCTGTCCATTCCCACCTCCTTAAATTCTCCTTGAGTCCTCTGACCATACAGCCAGCCCCTGTGGGCTCCTTTATCTGCCTCCTTGGCCTACCTGTCTGACACTGCGGGGAGAATCGCCCTGCAGCCAATGTCCAGTGGAGTGTCTCACCAAGCTCACCACAGCACAGGACACATTTCTCCAGCACTCCTTTGTCTGTCCCACTCCCTGCAAGGCAGAGCTCCCTGTTCTCCAGCAAAGCAATGACCAGGGTGGCAGACCAGGCCCGCCGAAGGCAGCAAAGATCAGCCACATGTGGAAGCACCCACCTGCTTTTCCCCTGCTTGCCTTGCCAGAAAGCAGAGGACTCTGTCCTGGGGCTTTGGACTCACTGGCTGGTGTCAGATCTGGCCTTCAGGTATATTGATGATGGCTGGTTTTCTCCCGAGTAGTTATTAGAAAGCAGGCCACCCCTTCCATCTCCCAGAGCATAGACCAGAGAACCCCAGTGCTTTTAGGCAAGAAGAAAACTCACTATTGGATTCAGCTGCCAGCCAGTTGCCATCTGTGTGGATGGAGCCCCTGACCGGGGGTGGGGGTGGGGTGGGGGGGGGGGGGGTGGTTCCCAGGTGAAATGATGCTCCCGGCAGCCTGTGCTCCCTGTGCTGCTGTACATGGAGCAGTTGGGCTTCAGTGCTAGGTTTGCAGCTCAGCTCCAGCAAAGTGTGGCCACTGGGCCAGCCCCTTCATCTCTCCATGGTGTGTGTGTGTGCGTGTGTGCATGGGTGTGCACATAACCCTCACGTAGATGTCACAGGGACACTGTGAAAGATGGAGAGAGTCCATCTTCCTGGCCTAGCCTCTCCTTGTCAGCAGAGCCTGGGATGAATGTTTTCCACTGCTCACCTCTTCCATCTCTGTCTGACTCTTCTGTCACTCTCTGTCCTGTGGCCCATTGCTGCTATTCCTCTCCTGAGTCTCCTGGGCAAGGATCTCCCGACCTTTTTGAAGGTGGGAGGTGGTTGCCCTCAAGTTCTACCACTGGGGACCTTAAGGGGGAAGACTTTTAGAATGTCTTTATGCATTTGTGAACATTCTTAGAGGTGGCAGAAGAAAGGAAGATCTAGGCCAAAGAACTTCTCTTAAGGTTCTATTGCGGTTCTAACCTCAGGGCTGCTGGAGGGTGCGGAATGCATGTCACTGACCTTGTTCCTTCTCTCTGGGATAGATGACCCCAGGGAGGGTCACCCTTGTAAGATAATTGTGAATGACCCTGTGATGGGCGAGGAGTTCTCAACCCTTCTCAAGGGCAAATGCTGCCTTTGGCTTCCTCCCCCACCTCTTCTCTTCTGTCCTTTCCTCTATCTGCCAGCCCCTTTCCTCCTCCTCCCCAGTCCTCCTCCTCTTCCTCCTTCTCCTCCACACACCTTTGGATTGGCTGATGGAAATCTTAAAGCAGAAGGTTTGAATTTATTATGATTTTATAAAGGATTTTAACCAAAAGAAGAAACAGAGAAAGAGGGATGAAGGAAGGAAGGAAGGAAGGAAGGAGGGAAGGGGGGAAATAAACATGGGGATAGTTTTTCCTCCTCTTTCATTTCCCAGTGAGGAAGTAAACTCATGACTTACCAGCAATCATATTTGCACTGCTTATTTGCAGGTGCAATCTGACGTGGTCCTTGTATGGCACCCTGCAGAGGTATAGACTGGCACAGTGATGAGGCTGCAGTTGATAGAGGTTAAGTGATGTGATCAAGGTCCCGCAGTAAATAAGTAGCAGAGACAGGACCAGAACTCGGGTCCCTGTCCTCCCTGTCCAGTGCTCCACTCATTTCCCACACTGCCTCCCAGAAGCTGCTCAGGAAGGGTGTTCACCAAGGCCCCTTGTGATTCTAGACATGGAAGAGTGTTTCTGACTTGGAAATGAAGGTGCCTGAGGCAACCCTGACAGGCCTGTTCCACTTATAGGCATCGATTACCGCGTGAAGACGGTGACTGTGGATGGCTCACGGGTGGCCCTGCAGCTGTGGGACACAGCTGGGCAGGAGAGGTGAGGAGCTGCCCCTGCAGGTTGGGGCTCCTGAAAAAGCCCTGCACCCTGACCTTGGCTCTCCTGTGACAGGTATCGCTGTGTCACCCAGCAGTTCTTCAGAAAGGCCGATGGCGTCGTCATCATGTATGATCTCACAGCCAAGCAGTCCTTCCTGTCGGTTCGGCAATGGCTGAACAGTGTGGAGGTGAGTGGCCATCTTCCTGGGAGCCCTCAGGCTTGCACAGGCTTCTCCTGTCATTCCTGCCCTCTCCTCCTGGCCCTCTGTGCTTTCACACTCGGATCCAGAGTTCACCTGCTCAAAAGCAGACAGTCAAGCATTTGTCTGTTCACTCACGTTCCTGTACCACGCTACTTCCTGGGGATCAGAAGTGGGGAAGACAGACACAGTCCCTGCCCTTGTGGGCAGAGGGGGACATGAAAAATACAGATTACATACCCATGCTATGGCTTGCGTGTGCACACCAGCACTCAGGTGGAAATTTAGCCCCCACTGTGAGCTATTAAGAGGGTGGAAGCTTAATTTGACTATGGTATTTGGAGGTGGGACCTTTAGGAAGTATTTAAGATTAAAGAATGGGGACTATGACTTTTTAAGAGGAGAAAGAAAGACCTAAGTAAGAATGCTCTGTCCCTATAAAGATGCCCAAAGGCTCTATAGAGTCCTGTCTGAATTTGAACTTGCTAACCTTCAGAACCAGGGAACAAATAAGCCTTTATTCTTTATGAATTACTCTGTCTGTGGTATTCGGTTATAACCACCGACAACAGACTAAAACAGCCAGTACCTGTGTCATCACGACTGCTGTGTGCTGAGCAGGGGGACTGGGTTGGAGAAGGGGCACGGACTGGAGTATCAAGGAACTGAATGTCGAAATTCTTCCCCAATCTCACCATGGCACTCCACCCCCTGCATCTTTTGAGCTTCAGTAGGCCCAGCTGTACCTGCCCAGGAGCCAATCGGTGCAGGATTTGGGGGCATCTGTCTTAACCCTTCATACAAGGGGAGGTTGGTCTGTAACCCAAGTGCTCCAGGCTCCTTCCAAAAGGTAAAGGCCTGGGCAAAGCTCTGAGCAATTACATCCTTGAATTCGGGATAATCTGTGAGACTCTGCCTTCTCAATGAACGCTAGCGGCAGGTTGCTTTGTGAGTGCTAAGCACTTCCTGCGCAAATGCACATCATCCTCTCCCACCTCAGTGCAGGCTCTCAAGGCCGAGGTGGTAAGGACAAGCCACTTACTGCTTTCACAAAGTAGTCAAGTGGTATGTCCCAATGCCCTCCTCCATCAGGACCCATCATTTGTTCATTTATCTGTCCAAAAAATTTCCAGCAGTGCCCTTGGGGCTGGGAATTATAGCAGACAAGCAGGAAACAGTTTGTGCCTCGTGAAGCTTAGGTCAGCCTTCTGCTCCAAAGCCTTATGACCCCACGCAGTCTCTGTCACATACTTATGACTCTGTCGTAAATCACATGCTTACCACATGTATCTCCTGCCATCCCTGTGCCTCCTGAGAGATGAAGCATGTCTTTGTCATTGTAACCAGGTGCTTGGGGTGGAGCTCCACATCACTGGTGCTTACCAGATGCTAGATGAGTGAATGCACACGTTGTTGTGAAGGCACACTACGAGGGTTGTTGATTTCTTCCTCCATTTGGCCCTGAGATACCTATGATTCCTCCCACCAAAATCTGCTTCTCGTGGAGTTTTGCCCTGCTGGGCCACTCACCTTCTCTGCTGTTGATCTCATTACCAAGAAAAATAAGAAAAGGAATGGAAAACAGATTCAAGGGTTTCAAAAAATTTGCATAGTACAAACCATTTCTCAAAATTACTATGCCTAAAATACAAGTAAGAAAACATATGTTTTGAAATGTGGTAGATCACATATGCATCAAGTTCATAGGGTAGCAAATGGCCTGGGTAGAACTGGCAGTGATTCCAGAATTTATGACATCATTTTTTCTTTTCCCTTCCTCTTCCTCCTCCTCCTCTTTTGCCTCCTCCTCTAGAGCAGTACAGAGAAAGGTTTGGTGGTCATGGTTCTGGGCCCCTCATCGCCCTTTCTCAGTGAGATGTTTGACATCTTTTTGTATATTAGAGGTCCTGATACAACTCTGTTAGACTAAAGGGTTTCCTCTGTGAAAATCACCACTCTAGTACACCTGTCTCTTTCTTAAATGAAGAAATTGAGGTCATAATTTTTCCAAAGGCTGACATTCTTCTCCTATTCCCAGATATTTAATTGTCTAGGCAGCAGCAACCCAAGTGTCTGGGATTAATGTGAGTAGATGGAAACAGATTTGTGGAACTGTGCATTCTGCCATCTCTAGGGATGTAGTTTTCAGGGCTCCTGATTTGCACAGAGAACCTGGAATCTAGCAAGAGAGATAGAATATCAGGATGAATTTTGTGGTGGAGAAGAAACCTCAGAAGGCTTCAATGTAGCTGGGATTAAGACTCCAGCCCTTCAGACAACTATGTACCAAGCACCCCATCTGCCTGGGATAGGGCTGACAGCACCATCAGACTGTGCCTGGCAACATACCCCATGGAAGCCTTGGAGCACCCATGGCCTTGGACCTCCAGTCTAGTAACTCAGAATCATCTAAGTGTGGGTAATCTGTAGTTTGATTTTTTCTTTTAAAAAAAATTAGTAAAAGGTATAATTGAAGTCTAAATGATAACTCTGCACTGGATGGACATGAGATGCTCCAAGCAGGATGATCCAAACCCTGAAAATTGGAGAAAGAAAAACATAACATCTCCCCAGGTGATTTTGATGTTCAGCCACCATGTTTTCCAGCCCAAACCAGTGCTTTTCAAATTCCCACATACCTGGGAATCTCCTGCAGAAGGACTCAGAAGATCTGAACCAGGGGCTGAGATTTTTGCATTCCTAACAAATTCGAAGGGGAGATCAGTGTTGCTTTTCCAGGGATCACCCTTTGAGCAGCAGGGCTCTGAGTCACGTTCAAAAACACTGATGACCCCTTACCAAGAATTTGCCAAACATGGGCCACCCACCCAGAACTCACTGGGCACCCTGGAGGACTTTGTGGGGTGGACCAGGAAATGCATTCCATTCGGTGGCATGGGATTTCTGGAACAAATGTGAGAGGCTGTGTCAAATGGTGGAGTGTGAGTTGAAGGTTGGAACAGAAGCGTCATAAATGCAATTATTCCCTGATTCTTGAAAAGCTAAGTCATTCCTGCCTTGGCAACCAGCAATCAGAGGTGTCAGGTGATAGATTAAAACTTGACACCTAATTTGATCTGAGGGGAACTGAAAATAATAAGTACCTTATATTTGTGGGGCACCTTATTTTTCCAAAGAGCTCCAATCACCTTGTCAACTCCCTCACGTGGAAAAGGAGGGTGGAGGGGGAGCTTTAATAAGAACCTTCATGGTTATGAAGTCTTGTTATTAGCTGAATGGTGGCCAGCTGTTCACGGTGCCCCCTTCCTCCCTCCACCTGAAAAGCAGCACAAGAAAAGAGGGCTTAAATTACCATCCAAGGGCTGACAGGAAAGATTTACCCTCCAAAGAAATGGTTGGGGGTGGAACAGATGATGCGGGAGGCAATGGAGTTCTCTGGAAAGGAAGTCCTTACCATACAAGTTCAGCCACTTCCCGGCCATGACATGTTGGTCAATCATTCAGTGAACAAACTGTTCTGGAAGACTCCTCCTGGTCCCCCTAAATTCTATAGTGTATGGCATTAGACTCTCTTCAAGGGCCCAGGACAGAGCCAGGGCGTGGAGGCGGGCATGTGAATGGAAGGACCCTTGAGGTCCTTCTAGCTCAAAAAGAAACAGAATCCTTTCACGTAAGAGAACACCTGCAGTGCTTGTTTTTCATTACTACGGAAAAATATATGAGGGAAGGCACTTATGAAGAAAAGTTTATTTAGCTCACAGTTTGGAAGGACGGAAGACATGGCACCTGTGTTGGTTCAGCTCTGGAGAGGACCTTCTTGGCTGTGTCACATCATGGTGGATGGCATCATGGCGGAAGTGTGTGTGAGAGAGGAAGAGATCACAATATGAAACAGGAAGCCAAAGAGAAGGGGAGGCGCCAGGCTCACTCTCCCTATGATAAGACTCTCAGAAGAACTAACCAGGGTCCCACAAGAAAACTACCTTAATCCCTTCAAGGGTACACCCCTAAAGACCTAATGGCCTCCCACTAGGCCCCACCTCTCAAAGGTCCCACCTTCCAGCATGACCATACTGAGAATCATGGCATGCTGAGGGATACAAACTCATCTAAACCATAGCACCTTCTCTGCTTGAAGAGGCAGAAACCTCCTGTTCTGCCTTACTCCGCCAGTCCTCACCTCACCTAGACAGCTTTTCTTTGCCTGCAGGCCTTCTGCAGAAGAGGCCTGAGCTGAGCCCAGCCACACTATGCTGATTGTCCTGTGTACCTTGTAAGAAGTCAAAGCTGTCAGTCATTTCTGTCACCACTGCATTTCCACCCCCATCCCACCCCATGTCCACTGGAAAACTGGTCTAGCCATTCTAATTGGAAGAAGAAACTGGCTGGGCTCTGAGAGCCCCATGTTAAGACCACAGGATTAACTGGACCTCTGAAGACCTTGGGGCCTGTATCAGGTAGAGAAAACAGAATTGGATGCAAGTTTATGTGGGATGGTAGCTCTCCCAAAACTAGATTGTTGGTCCCTAGTGTCTGCAGTCCTGAACTCACTTAAATTTTTTTTTTGTCACTCTGATAGCATTATATTGCTAAGCCTATAAGTCAAGGAAGTCAAATGTGACTGGAATGGTGATAGGCCAGCTGATAGATGAGCATCTCTGAGCTGAAAAAAAACCCAAATCCTTGGAGATTAATTGAATGCCAACTCCTTTTTGAAGGTGAGAGAAACTAAGTTCCAAAGAGAGGAAGTGACTTGTCCAAAGGCACCCACAGCTTGTCAGCAGTAAGGCCAGAACTGGGACCTGAGGCTCTGCTGCTGCTGCTTCCTGTCACGTGGCTCATGGCTGAAATCTGCTGCTGAAAAAAAAAAATAGGTGTTCAATCTTTTTCAAGTCTTTCTTGCATCCATCTAAAGTAGAACTGTTCTCCAGCTCAAGGGGCTCTGGCCCACTTCCCTCTCCCCTCCTGAGCTGCGAGCTAAATCTCTTTGTGTGATCTTTATCCTTGGTGACAATTGTACAGCACAGAGCAAAAAATAACAGTTTGATGTTTTTCCCGCATTCCAAGTTGAGCTTGAAATGCTGGCAGTTTAAAACGAACTACACAAATAAATCTTGTTTTGACTCATAGTCCAGGGGGTGGATAAATATGGAAACCCTCAAGATATAATTTTGTAGTCATTTTTTTTTCTTAGCATAACAGCATGCTTTAATGTGCTGAGAATTTTTTTGTTCTGGCTCCAGAGAAGTAGCAGCAGTAGCCCAGCTAAGTGCTTTTTTGTGCCTCCCAGCAAATAGATATTAACACACATACACATACACACACACACACACACACACACACACACTCACTCACTCCCTAGAGCCTGCCCAATGCAGCAGCTCCACCCCATATATCCTGAATGCCAGTCCTCTGCTGCAAGTTGATAGCTCTTGTTATTTTAAGTCTGAGATGGGTAATATTTTGCATTTCAACAAATCTGTCTTCCAACAAGCTCAAATTCAGAAAAAGGCAGCTAAAATGACTCAAGGTATAGAGAGACTTTTCAGTTAAAAGGGTATAGAACAGAAATTCCATCTAGCAAGCCTATTTTACAGATTTGAAGATAGAGACTCAGAGAACAGGAGCCATTGGCCAAGCCACTCAGAGAGATGGTGGTAGAGCTCAAGTCTCATAAGGAGAGACTGTGAGCTTGCCCTGGGTGACAGTTGGCCTGTCACACCTATTGAACTTTTACTGACATCTACAACAATATCAACAACAGAGGTTGGGTGGGCCTGGGACTTGCTCACTAAAGCCCCAGAGGCTTAAAAGAGGAGTGCTTTGGACTTTTAAAAGGAAGTGTCAGGCTGGGGTGTGTGGCTCAATGGTAGATCACTCACCTAGTATGCATAAGACTTTGGGTTCCAACCCCAGCACCAAAAAAAAAATGTTATGTCATCTAGTGGATGACTATGTGCTCTTTGAGGCAAGTGACAGACAGGCTGAGTAAGAAGAGTCTAACCTTTAGACTGATGGAGAGTTCAAGACTATCATGGAAAGACCATGAAACTCTCATGACAACCCAAGCCCCACCAAAGGCTGACCTTGGGCCAGGGTGGGGGATGCCTGGTTGCCTGTGACAGTTTGCATATTTTCTGTTCTTATGTGTGTTGTCATTTATTTTTGCCATTTTTTTGGAGATGGGCCTTATCCTCCATTACCGGTGGCAGGCCAGGGCCCACGGAGGGGAAGTGGGTTGTCCAGAATGGTTGTATAAGAAAGGAACAAGCAGAGAACAGAAGTCACAGCTCCAGCTGGGTGTTTGCTTTTTTTCTGCTCCTTCTGAACTCTTCTTTTTATATCTAGGAATTGCTTTTTAAAAAACAAGAAGACTGCCCTTCTTTTTCCAAGAGCAGCACTGCTGTTTGTGGTACACACGGCCCATATGTCAGGCTTGTGACCCAGGCTACACCTCATCCCACTCGGTCATTCAGTGTCCCCTTAGGAAAACCCTTAGGAAAAGAAGAAACCAAAGCCCAGTCCATGGAATAACAAATCTGGGGTTAGAATTCTTCCTTGAGATTTCAGGTCTGATGCTCATATTTTCAGAGTTTCCATGTCAAGAAATCCCACAAGCCTTAGTCATTCCTCACACATAAATCTACAAATATCTTTCTCGTGTGCTCTAAACAGCAAGTCTTTTGGCCCAGTTCCCTGCTTCCTTCTCCTCTCTTCCTTGTGACAAACTCTTAGCACACGTATTCATTTGCCCAGCATCGTGAGAAACTAGGGACATTCCCATTAGCTACCACTCAGCTAATAGGGAGCCACAGCAGCTTACATATGCCATAAGTAGGTTTCTCACTTTCAAATAATTGGAAGATGGTGCCATCTACTTACCACATCAACTACAGTTCACATGATTTAATTTCTTTTTGATGGGTCAAAAGACACTGTAAGATCTTATATGCCTTTGAGTGACTATTGTGAACATTCATTACCATCTTTCTAATGTACCATTTTTAGAAAGTTCAATTCAGTAAGACACTATGTAGCAGAGAATTCATGGGAAATAAGAATCCAGACAAGGGAATTGTGGACCCTTATACTAAAGGGTCTGACCTTGTTCTCGAGGGTTCTTTTGGGCTCTCTGAGCCTAATGTTCTTATTTAGTCAATGATAATTTTTTCTAATACTGAATTACAAATAAAAATGAACGTGCAGATTAAGAAAACATTGAAGCTTTAATTGCAAAGAAAACTACACTTAGACTTCAGATAAGTGGTCTGATCAGATGGACTTTAGCCTTTTATGTACAATGCTGAGCTAAAGTAATAAGAGTATTGGCAAAATCACAATTGCTATAAGCTTCTAGCATTACACAGCCCTCTATTTAACCAAATGTTTAGCTATGATGAATAACTATTCATTACCAAATTATGATTAAAAGCCCCTAATTAAATATTTCACAAAGTAAAAATAACAACCTTCTTAAATGGGAACATTACCATATTTACTCACTGCATAGCTGTGTGTTCTGGACCCTTTGTTGCCACTCAGGAGAGGTACATGTAGCACCCCCCTTTCAAGGAAGGGGCAAAGACGACCTGGGGACAAGGCCCCTGGGTGATGGCACCCACTGCAGGAGTAAACAGAACTGACACTGAACCTGTTACTTCTGTCCCTAGAAGCACAGCTGCTATGGGCTCATAGTTCTTCCTCATGCAGAGATTTATTTTTTTATTTTTTTTAGAGCCATAGCATCCCAGTGGTGTGGGTCATTGTGCATGTCCCCAGTTAGGCTTACAACAGTCACATATGGAGCTCTGTGGACCCAGCACCACGTGTCAGATTCATCCCCTCTCAGGAAGATCATGTGCCTCCAGAGATGCCACTTCTAATCCAAATAGGTGCATCACAGCTCCAAACCACACTGATTAATTCCCATGGTCCATTGTGGTTCATTAGACAGTCTGGTCACTTAGGAATACCCTGGACAAGAATTCATGGTCCATCAGTGTCGCCTGTTCCCTCATTCAGCTACTTCTTCCCCAGTACATCTAGGAGCTACATGCTTCATCCAAGATCCAGAGAGTGGTGTAAGGGGAGCAGTTGTTGCACAGATGGGGGGTGGGAGGTAACCAGAGGCAGGCCTCAGCACCATATGGAAGCATGGTAAACTGAGGCTCTTAAACAAGGTAGCTCTCATTCTCAGCTGTTGGCTATGTTGTGGCAGCAGGGGACTCTCAAACCACCCTGTGTCTTTCCAGCCTACCCTTCTGGCTCTCCTTCTGGAGGTTTCTCTCAGCTAGGGGATTGTCTGTTCTGCAGGAAGCTGTGGGAGACCGTGTTCCCGTTCTTCTGTTGGCCAATAAACTTGACAATGAGAAGGAGCGGGAAGTTCCCCGGGGCCACGGAGAGCAGCTTGCCAAGGTAAAGAGCCAACATTTCCATCTCTCTGGACAGGTGGGAGCTCCCAGCACTGAGGCATAAGCCCAAGAGCCTTGGTGGGAACTTCCAGAAACCCCATGGGAAGGAAGCAACTGGTTCCTGTGCATGTAGGGTTTTTGCCAAAAAGGCACAGATCACGAGATGGAGTTGGTTGAGGACCAGCAGGTATAGGAAACCACCCTAAACTCCCATCCTTGGACTGCAGAATTATTAACTCTATGAAAGTAGAAAAGTTACTCATTTTGATCCCCACACACACTGATATTCAAATCCCACCTAATCACCTTTAAGGGTGGACAATCCACCATCTGCAAGGCAGCATGTTCTTCTTGGGACCCCTCTGCTAGTCATCCTTTCTGCCAAGATGGAGCCTCAAAACTGTGAACTCAGGTAAACTCAGGGAAGGCACCAGAAAGCCTTCCATCGAGATAAGAATTAGCCCTCCTGCCCAAGACTGGGCCCAGCAGGGCCTAATGGAAACCAGGCAGCAAATCAGTGATTGTTCCTGGGCTCCTTTTATTGTTCTCTGTTTGGTTCATTGTCCTGTGGATCTGGGAGGATGAGGCGCTTCTCCAATCCTGGGATTCTACAACAATTCTTAGTGTGGTTGCTCTAAATAAGAGTCATAAGCTCAAAGTCTGGAAAGGAGCACAGAGGGTAAGATTCAAGGAAAAAGGACGAGGAAGGGCCTGGCTAGGGCCCATGGGGAGGGTCACTAGTTCTGAAATCCAAATGACCTGAATACAGTATCTCTAGCAGGAAATCTGACTAGAACTGACATGAAGACTATTGATTTCTTCTCAGTGAAGAAATATTAATGTTTGATTATAGGGTGTCATCCCAGACCCACTTTGAAGGTATTATATAATATATAGCATCTACATATATTACCTTTCTAAAATTCAAAAATTCTGGATTCCAAAACCCATCTCGATCCAAAGCTTTGGGTTAATCCTTATAGACCTATAATTATTACTAGCAGTAGTATTAATATTAATATTATCCCATTTTCCTTTCTATTAGTAAAGAAAACACAGAGGCAGGAATTGAGCAATTCGTTCAAATCATCACACAGCTCATCAGTGGTACAGTCAGCACTTGAAGCTGGAAGGCAAATCATGTCTTGCAGTTCTAGGTTCTGTGTCCTTCTGCCCCACCCCCAATCCACCCATGAAATCTCTAGTCTGACAGCCTGCCTCAGAGTTGGAGTCTAACAGAAGAGTGGACAGAGAAAGATGAAGCTTCTGGGGCTGGGTGAAGAGGGCAGAGGATGGAGCTGGGACTCCAGTGCTGGGCTCTGAATCAGAAGCCAGTACTTGGCAGAGCCTCCTGAGCTATAGCCTCAAGAGTGTCCTCACTCAGATGGTCCACATCCCCACAAGACATTGGCCTCCAAGCCAGGGCATCTGCAAGCAAGCACTCAGTGCCATTAGCCTCGTTATCACAAAGCACACAATCTATTAATGGAGGTGGTAAGTGGACTGTGGTGAGCCTTGGCCAAGGCTCCCTCATGCACACAAACACAGCCTCTGTCTAATGAGGTGACAAACAATTGTCCTATGCACCAACACTGACAGCCTGTGCAGCTGGAGTATTAATAACTGGTGTGAAGGAGAATCTGACTGGAGTGCTTTGTGACATCTGGGCAAGGTCCACAGAACACCAGTGTCCTGGGAAAGCAGCTCCTGGAGCCCTCCATTTACTAACTGTGACCTGAACTGGCCTGCCATGTAGCCTCTCTAGCCTTGGTTTCCATGCCTGGGAAGTAGATAGAATTCTGCCTGCCCAGGCCTGTGCATCTCTACCTGCCTCACAGGGCTAGTGTGAATGTGAAGTGAGCACGTGTGTGCTTGAGAGTGATCAAGAAGGTATAAAGCACCAATGCTGTGACTTTTCTGAGGTTGTACAGTTGTTACAGGGCAGCCAGGAGATGCTCACAGAGCCTGCATCAGTGATCGAGGCTGGGAGGCAGAGGTCAGCCATATCCAGAGACAGGAGAGGGTCAAGGAGCTCAAGGGTCTGTGAGGAGCAGGGAGGGCTGCCAGTACCCACATACAGAGCACTGTACTCCACCTCCCACCCTTTCCTCCACTCCCTCACACCCTCCCTATACTCCTGTGTTTTTAATTCCAGGAGCACAATCTGATCTTCTACGAATGCAGTGCCTATTCTGGTCACAACACCAAAGAGTCCCTGCTTCATCTGGCCAGGTAGGAGACCCACCTAGCAGGCGAATGAGTCCAGATATTCCAAGACTCTGCCCAGGCCACAACTCTGGGACTCCCTCCCTCTCTGCCCAAGCCCTGCACACAGGCTGTGGTGGCCTAGGCCTTTGTGTGGAATTTCAGTGCCGAGGAGAGGCATTCTAGGACCATAATGATGAAAAAGCAAGCGTCCTTGCCTGTCACCCCCACCTCCCACTTCTGAGTCTTAAAGACTCATGGTAAATGCAAATGCTCCTGAGGAAGTTCACATCAGAAGTCCCTCAACACTAGCTAGTATCATAGCAGTGATTGGTTGGAAGTCAGCTGGAATAAGCACAGGTTATAATATGGGTTCCTGGGGTTTCATGAGAGAGGCAGGACTGCCATGGGGGAACAAGCAGAGGTACCCACAGTTAAAGTGCTGAAAGGACTGGTCACACAAAGAGACTTGCTCCTTAAGACCCTGCCTACACCAGAAATTAACAGGAAAAAAAAAACACACACTGGGAGCCTTTTTCAACAGTTAGGCATTCATTCATCATCCATCTATCTAGGCATTCATTCCTTCCACCCACCCATCCACCCCACAAACACTGAACAGTGCCATGATGCTCTCATACCTCCTACAGGGGCATTTAAAACTATTTTAATAAGGGTAATTAAGAATGCAGAACAATTCCTCTATGCATTGGAGAGTTTATGACACATATCATGGGGAAAGTTCTAGACTCTTCACTGCCACTGAATCCCTGGGCAAAGCTCTCTGAGCTTCCTTGGTAGGGTGGCAACCTCCATCATACCCTCCCTGCCCATTCACAGGTTATCGTGAGAATCAAAGGACACACACAAGATGACAGTGTCTGGGATAAAATACTTAACATTTGTTTTCAACCCCTCACCTCCTACATTTAATCTGGAGCTATGGCCACATAGCCCTTCTGTGGAGTTAACAACCGTTAAGTCTGTGTCAGTTACAATGTTGGGCTGTATGACACAGGGATAAGGCCCAGTCTCTGCCTTTAAGCAGCTCGCTCTTTATGGGGGAGTTGGCAGAGAAAGTAATGTATTGTAAGCCTGGGTTGGGGGCTTACAAGAGAGAAGGGTCAGCATGCTATCAGGGTCACAGGTCAACCAAGAAGAGGGTCACAGGAGGCTTTCTGGAGGAGGTGTCTTGAAGGGTCCATTTTGACCGAACTCTGGGGTCTTAAAATTACAGTCACACCTGCATCGCCTCGGGGAGACTTTAAACACTCTTCTGATGCCCTAGTGAGGTGGGGAGCTGTCCACATCGCCCCAATGGTCTGTACTCTGAGGAAAGTTGATCCATGTTGCCAGCCTCCAAGCCGAGCAGCTTTTCCACTAGCAACACCATCCCTTCTCCTTCCCCAGGTTCCTCAAGGAGCAAGAAGACACAGTGAGAGAGGACATCATTCAGATTGGCCCCCCTGTCAAGAAGAAATCCTGCTGTGGCTGACAGGAGGCCTTCGGGGACTGGTCCAAGGTCACAGAGCTACCCCAATCCCACACGTGGGCTCTTGTGTGGTGTCATCTGGCAAGGGTCCCAGACCATTGGTTGTGTGGGCGATTTGCCTCCCCCAAGGAAAGGGAAGCATGGGCCGTTAGCAGTGCTGCTCTTGGAACATCTTGGAGTATGCCCCTCCTTCTCTCCTAGACCCCAAATGTCCATTCCTTTGTTTTTCCCTCCAGCTTGGTTTCCTGGGGGAAAGAAACAGGTAGGCTTTTCCAGAAAAGCCACCAGCCTGCCTTCTCCACTCCCTTCTCTTCCCCTTGTCCAATTGCACTGCAGTTGCCATGGCAACTGTTCAGCGTCGACTGGCTGCTTCCTGCAGGCCAGGGTGGTACCAGTTGCCCAAGGCCAGGTTCTCTAGAGGCCAAAGGGCTGCTCTTGGAACACTCTCGTGGACTTAAGATACCCTTGATTTTTTTGGAAAAACAAACCAGAATACCATATGCTGTTCTGAGCTTCTCTTAGCACCACCATGTCCCCCGGATTTGCCACTGTAGGTTCTCCACAGTGGGACCCCACAAAGAACCCACAGCCTTTCCTGTTCACCCCCACCTGCCACCCTGACTCCAGCGTGGACTACAGGTGACAGTGCCATGTCCAGAGTTAGGAAGCAGGCCTTCTTCCTACTTCTCTTTGAATAAGGGATGAAAAGCAAATGGGGGAGGTAGGAAGCCATCTGCTGTTAAAGACAGCGTCCACTTCTGGAGGGTATAAATAAGGATTATAGAGCTATTTAAAAGCCCATTTTCTAACTCAAAAGAGCTCCTTGGAAGCCTGTGCGTGATGATGATTGGCAGGGTTCATTCACACAAAGGCATGGAGTCACAACGTTAGATCAATAGTTCACTTCAGTTTGTTTCTTTTCTCTTTATTCCAGGAGGCTATGCTGTTGACATTTTGCTGGTGTTCACAAAGCAAACTGAACACAGCTTCTGGCTGTAGCACAGGGTGCTTGACCTGAGGGGTGCCAAGGTGGGATTCTTCAGCTGGGTGGTTAACTCAATCCCAGCTACTGGCTCAGCTGGGCCGCTGGCTGGCTGTTGGGGTATTCTTACCTTGGTTGGGAGGCTGGATAAAAAGGTCACTTTTTACAAGTGATTACCAATTCCAAGTCTAGGACTGCAGAACCAGTCCCCAACCCCCAGGAAAGTGAGCAGTCCACACCCAAGTGGAGCTCTCTGAGACAGAAGGACATAGGAGACAAAGTCCCCACAGCCAAATGGCTACAGGGGGAGTCATTAGTTAGAGTCCCCAAGGCTTATCCTACAGCCTCCTCATCAGGAAAATGGGGGGTGGGCTCTTTGATGCCTGGTAACTTCCTCACCATGAATACCATGGCACATCAATGCCCTCACAGGCTGGCCCCAGACACCACTCCAAGGTGAAGAGAACCCAAGAAGCTTCCTAAAAGGAAGGGCAGTAGTAGGCTATTGAGGGAATGTGTTGGACCATCCAGAGGTGACCTCACTATCTGTGTGTGTGGAGGGCAGGTGGAGGTTGGTGAGAATAAACCAGCTCCCCCTCCCCACCTTCTGACCAAACACAGAGACAGAACTAGGATTTACTGGCTAACAGAGTCAACCTGGAATCTTTATCTTCAGTACTTTGTCCACGTGGGGGAGGCATTTTTCTCACTTAGAAAAAGTGCCTTCAAGGGTTTAGAGGCAGGTGACACGATTGTGGTACCAGGCCCTCTGGCATGAGGGAAAATCCCATGATTCCTCGGAAGCTCAGGCAGAGGGAGGGGGCAGGAAGTATTCTACTGCTCCCCCATCCAGCCACACTGTAGAAGAGTGGAGGATGGGGAGCTTCAAAGGGACTCCGAAAAGTCCCTTGTCCCCCGATTTCATCCTCCCTTCTTCATGTTCCTTTTAAGATGCCATGGGGATCAGAGCCACCTCAGGGCTGTCAGCCTGCTCCAGAGGCTGGCTAAGTGCACAAAAGAACATTCTGGCTCCATTCCATTTGTGTCCCTGGTCAGGCAGCTAGATTTCTCTTTCATCCATGCACTGGAGGTTTCAGTTGTCTCCTCACAGGGACATTTCAAGTGCTTGAGAGGTACTGGATGAAAAGAACTTAGCACAGTTACCAGTACCCAACAGGCATTAAGAAGAGGACCTGTTTGGAAGCCACACTGAGCGGCTGCCCTGTTCACTTGCTCTACTTCCGTTTCAAATTTGAAACTAAATAACACTTACCAACTATCTGGCCGGAACTGGGCACACTCACCAACACTACTTTGCTTGAGCACCTCTCTGCCCAGTCTATCTGTGGGGTGATGAGCTCAGATCTGGCTTCAGCACTTGATCTTGCTGTCCTTTGTTCCCATGGGCTCTAAGGAGGCCTGGTTTTCCAGTTGGTGCCTGTGACCCTGATCCCAGCCCCCCAGTCCATGTTCCTCTCTCTCTATGGTTCTCTGGGGACCCAGACAGCAGCTCAGACCTGGTGCCATTTCCTGGCTATTTACCTATGAATGACCTGTCCTCAATGCTGTCACTTACCCTCGCAGTAGCTGACGTCTTATTCTTCCCTTGGGGTCTGCTGCTGTCCTCCTGCCAAAACAGGAGCTCCAGAAGTAAACCAATGCCCCATGGTCTCTGTCAACCCTTTATGTCCCTTCAGCCTCTTTGTGGTCTTTTCTGTTCCCCTCCCTCCCCCATCCTGTACTCTTTCTCTATTCTTAATACCTTCACCCAATCTTGGACTCCCCACTTTCCTCCTTGGTCCACTGCAGGGCGTACCTATAAACTCTATCAAAAATGGCTCAACCCTTTGTCTCTGCCATGGGCAGCCATGTTCCAAAGGATTTAAAGCAATTTTAGCTAAGGTATTGATCCAAATGGTGGCTCTATGACTGTATGCAAATTTTAACAAAGAACTCTAAGGAAGGCAGAATTTTAACCCCCAAGGATGAGTCCCTGGTGATAGAATATTAGGAACCATAAGGGGTGTTAGGGTCAAACATTTAGTACAGAGTTACCTTCTCCTCTGAAGAAGACCTCAGTTTGCTTCACACATTTGGGGGCTCTATTGCTAGGTTAAAGTATATTCGTAATTGTGGCATCTTCTGAATGGCTTGAATCTTTATCATTATAAAGTGACTTCCTTTGTCTTTAGTAACAATTTTTAAAGTCTAGTTTGTCTGATGTTAGTAGAGCCAGTTTTTTTTTGTTGTTGTTTACAGAGTTTATCTCTTACAACCTTTTACTTTCAACCTAGTTGTGCCATTGAATCTAAAATTGGTCTGTTGTATGTCACATAGAGTTGGATAATTTTTTTAAAGAATTATTCTTCCAATTGCTATCTTTTTATTAAAAAGTTTAATTTAAATTTTAATGAAAAAGTTTAATTTTTAATGTTTGCATCTACTGCAGTTGATAAAGTGAGATTTATGTCTATCAGTTTGCTATTGCTTTTCTATACACCATATATATATGTACATATATATATATTGTTCCTCTATTCTTTCATTACCACTGCCTTCTTTTCTGTTAAATAAACATTTTCTAGTGTACCATTTTAATTCTCTTATTTTACTTACTCTATTTTTTACCTATTTTCTTGGTGGTTACCTTGGAGACAACCATTAATATCTCAATTTATATCAATCTGTTTGGGTTAATTAATAACTTAATTTTGATAATAGATAAAAAGCACTCTCCTGTGTAGTTCCATTCTCCCCTCCATTATGTTGCAGTTGTCACATATTACATCATTATGAGCCCATCAGCATAGATTTATAGTTGCTTTATGCATTTGTCCAAATCAGATATAAAAAGGGACTTATAAACAAAAATGTCATCTTTATACTTAACTATGCATTAGCTTTTCCAGTCTCTTTATGTCTTCATGTTGATTCAAATTAGCATTTCATTTCACACTGAAGGATCCCTTTAGTAAACTCTCACAGTTTCTATTCATCAGAAATGTTTTGATTTAACCTTTTTCTTTTTTTTTGGCAGTACTGAAGTTTGAACTCAGAGCTTCACACTTGCTGGGCATGCACTTGAGCCACAACTCCAGCCCATTTTGCTTTAGTTTTTTTTTTTTTTTTCAGATAGGGTCTCACACTTTTGCCCAGACCAGCCTCACACTGTGATTCTCCTACCTTCACCTCCCAAGTAGCTGGGATCACAGGCATGTACTACCACAAACCTGGGCTTTTTTTGGGTTTTTGGTTTTTGCCCAGGGCTGACCTCCATCCTCTATCCTCCTATCTCTCTGAGTACCTAGAAATACAGACATACACCATCATGCCCAGATATCCTTCATTTATGAAGGATAATTTTGCCAGATATAGAATTTTCACTATGCCATTCCACTGGTTCTGGCCTCCATGGTTTCTGATGTGAAAGTAGCTATTGGTCTTATTGGGAGTCCTTTGTATGTGATGAGTTGCTTGGCTCTTTGCGCTCTCAAAATTCCTTGTCTTGTCTTCCGAGGTTTGATTTTGATGTGTTCAGCTGTGGGTCTCTTTGAGTGTACCCTACTTGGGGTTTGTTTTCATCTGATTTGGGAGGTTTTTTGGTCATTATTTCTTCACACGTTCTTTCTGCCTCTTTCTCCCTCTCCTTTTCTTCTGGAACTCCCCTTATGCAGAGTTGGCATTCTTGATAGTGTCCCACTGTTCTCTGAGGCACTGTTCATTTTTCTTCACTCCTTTTTCTTTGTGTTCCTCAGAGTGGATAATCTCAATTGACCTATTTTCAGTTCACTGATTCTTTCTTCTGCCTGATTGGATATAAATTTTACATAAATCTTAGTACACTTTTCATTTTAATTATTTTGCTTTTCAACTCCAAAATTTCTATTTGACTCATTATTATAATTCCTGTCTTCATTGATATCCTCTACTTGGTAAGACAAGACATTATTCTTATCCTTTCCCCTAGTTCTTTAAACAAGGTCTTTGAATATATTTTAAATAGTTTAGACTTAAAGTCTTAAATATACCCCATGCACAAATCAAGTTCTACCTATCAGTCACTGCTTCTTTCCTCAAGTTCCACACAACCAAAACAACTAGAAATCTGGTTTTACTCCGATGTTCCACCTCTGACCTCCCCAAGAGTCTCTCCTTTCTGCTGAATTGAATAAGGGAAGAAGCCCTTTAGGTCTGTGAACCCTTCCTTTCCACCTGAGCACCTGGAAGTCCTGCTGGAGGTGAGCTTCCCAAGGAAATACTCTGCCCTTTGGGAAGGTGAAGGAAGGCCACAGTCTCTTCAGGCAAGATTCCCTTGCTCCCCAGAATCCCAACACCCTGCCAAACTTTGCTCAGAAGGGATGGGAGCAGGAAGACTGCAAATCAGATCCAATGCTTGGAAAACAGAAGACAGTTCACTGAAAAATAATGAACTTATAGTA